AGGTCAATCAGCCAGGTGAAGCTTTTTTAGGGCATCTGCGGGTGCTCGAAGAAATGGGCAGCTGAATAGAGAGAGAGATAGAGAGAGAGAGAGAGAGAGAGAGAGGGAGCGAGAGAGATTGAGAGAGAGGGAAATTGCTTCTTATTCACTTATAGTGTTCGAAAATCTAGAACCGGATTGAATTCGTGCGCTCGAATAGCTTATGCTTGTTTGGTGAAGCGCTTTCATCGTAGGATTTCGAGGATTTGCGCACTGAGTTTCGAAAGTGTCTATTCAATCCATTTTTTAAAACGTGTTATTCATCTACCAGGGCCCAAAAATTCTGGACGTCCTTCCTTCTGTTCGAGCCGAACTATGAAAACTAAGAAAAGAAGTGAAGGAAGAGCCCCTGAAACTACATTCCAAGGCAACACCTGCATCAAAACAACCCCGAAAACTAGGCCAATTTAGGGTATTCGACCGCAATAACACACATGTTTATTTGCAGAGAATAGCTATTTAAGGTTATTACAACTAAGTTTTTATGTGCCCCATATCCGGAGAAGATGGCGGGGCGCAAAGACCAGAATTGTAGTGATTTGCAGGAAAAGCAGCCATCTGTTGAGGGAACTAGTGCCGCGTATAATTGTTTACGTTTTCGGGAATTTCACTTTACAGATTGTAATGTGCAAAAGGAGGCTTGCGTTGTTTAGCGGTCGTTTCCAGATGCCATCACCGTGGTTGCGGTGTTTTTGATAGGTGTCAATGTCGGGGGACAAATTAGACTTGGGGCGGTGTCATATCGTAAGCGAATGGAAAAATTTTTCGATGTAAATAAGAATGGATATGAAAAACTACTAGCAAATTTTCGTCTAAACAATAAATTCGAAATGTTTCCAAACCCGGAAAAATAACTGAGATTTTCAGAAAATTAAAATAAAAGGTAATTCTCAATAAAAATAAAAATAAAAATTACTTATGAAGTGAAGGAAGTCATAAAATTCACACTCTTTGCATAGACCGTAGGCCCTTCTGGGCTCCTAAAATGCAAAGAAAAATTGCTCGAATAAAGGATTTCTGTGGCACTGATTTTTTTTGGTTCATGCTTGGACAAACACATAATTTGGAGTGTAAATAAATACATTTACTCGGAAATTTACGTCCAAAAAGAGTTATCTCTTCTAGAAACCCCCCAACTACAGATCATTAAAATCAGGAACTCTTTAAACAGCAAAGAAATCCGAGCCAACGCATCCAAATGCCGTCCGTGGAAGCGAGATTCCGGGATTGTTTGCGAGGGTGGCATTCCTAACACGCCACAATAGCATAAGCGCCGAGCCCTCCGGCGGCGAACAACTCGAAGACCGCTAGATAGCAGAGCCGCCCCGGCCAGGCGACCACAGGCTCATTAGGGGATCGTGTCCGCTGGCCGTCTTCTCTCAAGCCCGACCCCCGACTAAAGGGGCTGTAAAAGGAGGACATCCCACACACAAATTGGACAGCAACCCCTAACAAAACTGCCGAGGTGCCATTGCCTCGATTTTCTTCTTCCTTCAAATCGAATCAGGAACCAATTGCCGTTTTTGGCAACAATGGCCTGCTTGGTGGATTTGGGACAAACAGAAAACTTTTAAACCTTAAAAAAGCAAAATTTAGGCGCGCGTGGGCCGTGTAGGACCCGGAGTAGAAGGAATTTATATGCGTTAATGATCGGGGTTTTCGCATCTAAACTGTACTTAATCAATAAAAAGATACGCAAGCAAAATCCGCGACACTCCAGCTGACAGCCATTTTGCTCAGTGGTCACCGCGTCGTTGCTTCCTGAAATCGGAGACGTCGGGCGAACTTCTGGGGGCGACAGCAGTACGAGGGGCTACTGCAGTCAAGATATCTGAGATGGTGATCGCCCATTTGAGGTGTCGTATAAAGTGGGATTTGGATCAGATGCGATGACACATTTGTCTTAAGAGGGATTAGAATGATCAGAATCAAAAGGGATAGCGGTTTATGCGTCTTTCCAAGACACATCCGGAAACTCCTGAGGACTTTTTAAAGATTTTTCAATTTTGTTTTCGTGCAGTATACGTCAAAACCATGCTATGACAACCGTCGGTTCAAGTGCTTCCTAATCACTCGCAAAACTCAATAATTGTTCTAACATCAGAACTACCAAATCCCTTGCCAAATCTTCTATCGAAGAGCCAACGACCGAACCTCGACCGACCAGCCTTTTTCCGGGATCAGACCGAGTGGGGCACAACCGTAGAACAACGACTCATCGCCCCCTTCTTATCACCCGTCATCACTTGCAACGATCAGAGAATATGGTTTTTCGAGCAGCCACTCTGGATTTCGCAAGCATCTCCCTGCAACAGAGGAATTCTGAAATCACCATTTTCCATGGTCGATCCGGCCGTCACCGGGTGATTCACCGGAGATGGTCGGCTGTGAAGGGGGACCTGGTATTTACCGATTTATAGGCGATACGGCCCACTCGGGGCATAAGGCCAAGAAGGATTGGGGGACAAAAAGTCAAGGGGGAGGTGGAAAAGCGTTGGCAAACCACTTGAATCAACCAGCATTTTATGGCCGTTCAGTCTGATAGCGTGGGGGGATCTCTTTGTGGTTTCTTGCTTTTTTAAGGATGTTACGTATTTATTGATTAATCAGGAAATACGAAAATGTGTACCCGCGACCTACTCCAAAAATTATTTATCATCTTAACCTCTTTGCCAGTTTCTTTTATTTATCTAACTTCTCAACATGCCAAACCAACCCACGTAAAAATTCGCTTTATTTGCACAATCCGGGGTGGTTTCCAATAATACCGGTACCCCCGAAAGTGATCACCGATTGCGAAACCTGAGCTTAATGATTGGGCGTGTAAATAGAGAGTGACCGGCTTTTCTCAGGGGCTCTTGCCGCCTTGGCCCCGCAGCCGACCACATAGTACCAATCTTTGGCCAGTACTTGGGGCCCCATAGCGGTATAGAAGGTTCGGATTACGGCTGGGCGTTTTTCATTCTGTAGTGAATTTTTGGGTAAGTTCTAGTCGTTGTGTATATATCCGGATATTGCAATTACCATTCAAAATTAATTTTTCTCTGGCTTTCTATATTGAGTTTCCAAACAGGTTTAACGAAATAACTACATAAAATTCCTTTACAGTCCATTTTTTTCCAGATATGATGTCCAATTTACAATACCCATTTACTAACCACCATCCTTTTTTAAATCATCAAAAACTTATCAGCAATCCCAGCCCCCATATCCACTCTCCCAAAAACACATTCCATACCTAGCCCCATTTCAAAACCCCCAGCCTTGATGATATCAAATCCAGATATGCGAATGTCATCAAATAGTCCCCTTATTAGCAACTCGAAATAACATTCCAAGGGTTAGTAGTCACTTGACTTGGTGTGATCCTGAAAAAGGGAACACGGCTTGTAATCAACGGCTCATCCGTGACGCCGCACCATCCAGAATAGCTGCGTCGAATCATCGTGTGCTTTCTGACTAGCTTCGGCCATTTTCTGGCCCCGAATAACCCAACCGGGGTAGATAAGCAGACTGTTTCGAGCGCGGTGTTCAGTTTCTGAGCGCTGGCAAGAACAGGCTTTGCATACAGATGCTTTTTTAAATTCGGATCTGTTTGTCAGGTTCTTTTGCGTTATCCGAATAATATTTTTTTTGCATTATTAGATGCGGCTCACAAGGGACTATTTTTCGTGGGTATAGAAACTTAAACTTAAAAGCATTTTTTAATGGTTATTTGGTAAAAATTAAAGCAGATTTGGGATCAGCTATTCGGTTTACCACCTTTACTTTAATTTTCCTTGTCTGTCAAAGCGGGGTCAACTGTCAACACGAAGCAGCGAAAAATTAACTAAATTAATTAGGAGCCACAAGACTAAAGACCCCTTTTTATCCTTGTCTGATTTAGGCATTAAATTCAAGCAATGCGACATTTTTCCGCAATCATTGCTCGATCATTTTCGAATTCACGATACAAGCCTAACCATACGAACAAGCAGCTGCCAATTAGACACTAAAACTATGACCTTTTTAAAAATTTTGGCATCAATTTCGATAGGTGACGCTAAGTAATGAGTAAGCAATGGTCGGCTGGGGCTCGGAACGGCCAATCGTCCCGGGGACCCTATGGGATGTTTGCCGAAACGTTTGGACAAACATCTATCCTATTCTCTACCCCCTCAGGGGCCTACCTGACTCTCCTATCCCTTCCTCGTTCTTTTTTACAACAATTTGCAAATAAAGCCGGATTCAGCGTGGTCTAGCCATTTTTGCTAATTTTCTATTATATTCCGTTGCTGCATCTTGTTTGCATATTTTACCCCTTGATTGCCGTTTACGTTTCAAAATGCTTTCAAATGCAATAAAGCTTGAATTTTTTCAAAGCTCGAGTTTATTAATATCACCGATTTTTCAAAATGTTTCCGAAGAGGATTTTTTGGGTTGTAGGCTTGTAGTTTAGTTAGACGAAAAGCAGTTTGTAAGGAAAATTTCAGCTTATATAATTTCTCAAATCCAGTAGCCAGGCATTAATTCTCGGATTTTCCATAAAATCAATTTTGTCTGAAATTAGTACGTAAGCGTTAACGACGTAAGCTTCCAATTCAAGTGAAAAGACATTTCGTCCCAATCGCTATTTGCTCATTTTTGACTCACAACTTGATTGATTTCTTTGAAATATTTTGTCAACCTATTGGCTTTTTTACCTTGCATCGGGAATGACTAGTTATGGGTGTAACCTAAATAATCTAGTCTACTCCTCACCTCCCCCAAAAAAATCTCAAAAAAGACAAAGGAGGCAAGACAAGGGGTTCAGGGGGTCCGCACGTCGCTGATAACGCGGCTAGATCAAGAAATTCCACGCAAACGCAAAGTTAGACGGATGACGGCAATTTCACTATTTTTCGATAACGATTTTTTCCTTGGCTTGCTTTACAATAATTTTACAGTTAAAATATCCAGTTTTTAGCCCCGTCCCGTACGCCATGGGCGCTTTTGCCCAGCTGCGGCTGCTGTTATGGAAAAATTTCATGCAGCAGGTAACGAGATCAGCTTGAAGTCATCATCGATACTTTCAAGGTCCGGTCACCATGGTTCACCATTATGGAATTTTGTGTGCCGCTGATTCTGATCGGGGCTTCATTTGGGTTGATGATTGGGGTATGTAATCTGACCCCGAGAAGGCGTAAAATTTCTGATTCGACAGTCCAATCCGCTTTGATAGCAACTTCCTAAAACCGGCTTTCAGCTTCGTAATACCTTCGAGAAGCATGAAAACCAGAAAAATTACGGCCGCTGGCCGATCACGGGGCAAGCTGTCGATCTCATCGTTCCACCGGATATCGCTAATCGGGAAAATGCTACGTTGAAGGTATCATTGGCTGACGCTAAATAAAAAAAACCATTTTCTTTCTTAAGTTTTATGGCATATTTAGGGTATGATCTTGGATGCATCGATTTTTGCAACGGGAAACCGAACAGAATGTCAGTTCCTGCAGGTATGTTGTTGAAGTAGTGCTAATAGCTCGAAAAACGTTAAGGTGAATATAACGGACAAACATTATGATGTTGGTGTACGGTTGGCGTATGCCCCAAGGACAAATTTCACAGATGAGGTCATGCTGCGCGTCCAGGTTAGTCTTTTAGAAGATTGTGTTCGCGTTTTTTGTTTTTTAATTTAGCCAATTTAGGATGGATACACCGGAACGCTTGACGCCTTCTTCATAGAACTGCAAAGCATTCTCGGTGCGGCCATCACAATGAATGTCGTAGCCGATATTACGCGTAACTTTTGAAATGGTTGCAGCATTCTTGCGGTTTCTAGCATACAATACCGCCGATGAATTGAAGAATGCAATGGTTAAGGATTTCACAACCCAATGTGACAACCCGCTATGGGGTGGGATCAACATCTAAGCATTAATTAATTACCGTTTTAGCTGGGATTGTGTTCGACGATTCTATTGCAAATAATCTGGATACGGCTATAAATCTCACCTACACTATTCGGCTGGCAAATACGAAGCGGAGACAGGTAACCTAAATTTTTGGATCAAAGCAAATCACGTCTCCTTTAGGTCCGAGGTTTTGATGACAGTAGTGGAATGCCATGGGATACAAAACAAAAATTCGCCGTCCAATACATTAGTGGACCCATCAACCCAAAGGACATCGATGGAGGAGATCCAGGTTTGACTCCCCAAGCAATTGCAATTTCCAACAATTACAGGATACTGGGAGGAAGGCTTCATGTCTATACAAAAAGCTGTCGATACTGCCATGCTCAACTATCTCGATAAGAGAAATATCACGAAGGTCCAAAACGTTACAGGCTGGATCGGGGAGCAGGAGGTTTGTGGCCAGTTATTTCCACTTAGCATGCATAAATTTTGCCAGCATTATCTGTTAAATTGTAAATTTAGGTTGGGCGTTACCCATTCCCGGAGTATACACGCAAAATCATCGAAGTTGGTGCCTATTTCCTGCCGGTTGTGATCATCTTTTCCTACATGACATCCGTGATCTACATTGTCCGCTCAATTACCATGGAAAAAGAAGACCGTTTGAAGGTCCCTAACTAGAGTAAATCGATTTAACCCCCGCATATTTAGGAATACATGCGAGTGATGGGACTCTCACAATGGGTGCTTTGGGTTGCCCATTTTATCACAAGCTTCATTAAGCTGTTATTTTCGGCAAGTGTAGCCTGATGTTTTCACTGAAACGTTTTCAGGTGATCATCCTTACCATCCTCATGCAAATTGTCGCCAAAAAATCGGACGGTTTTATTATATTCCTTTTCTTCACACTGTACGCCTATAACGCGACCTATTTTTCGTTTATGGTCTCGACATTTATGCAATCTGGTGAGTTGTATCATTAAAGAAAAACTATTATAAAATTTAGGTATGGCCGGTACGATGTTGGCGGTGCTCGGATGGATGTTGTTATATTTCTGGTGAGTCTCAAAATCATCCACCATCGCAAATAAATTGAATTTCAGGTACGCCTTCTTCTCGGGAATGGACACAGCCAAACCCTACGATTTTGGCGTCAGAATGATAAACTGCATAAACCCAAATAATGCGCTATTTTTTGGCATTAACAAGATTGCCCAATATGAGACGCAGGGTGGGCCAAAAGACTGTGGATTAAATATTTTCTTAGGTGACGGTGTGAAATGGGGAATCCTATTCAGCCGCGCATCGCCCGATGATCCGCTAACCCTCGGCCATATGTTTATCATGCTCATCATCGATGGTATTCCAGAAAAGGGAATACTTATACACACTTTGTAGGCCTGATAATGATGTACATCACCTGGTTTGTCGAAGCGGTCAACCCTGGAGGCGAAGGAGTTCCGCAAAAGGTCTACTTCATGTTCCAGGTATGCTTTTTGCATATCGCAAAACCCAAATTTTAGCCATCCTATTGGTTTCCCCATCACGCAGCCAAAAAAAGGGATGCGAGCGCCCAGACTGGTGGTAGGCGGATTGACCCTCAACTCTAATAAAATGCTAAGGAAAACCCATTGAACTCGACTATGATGCAAAGTGTGAAGAAGAACCCCGTGGACTTCGAGCTACCATTAATGTCGTTAACCTTTGCAAGGTCTATGGTGGATCTTTCTTCAAGGCAAGTGGAGGAACTAATTTTAACATTTAGTTTAGAAGCTCTTTGACTGCAAATTTGGAAAGGAGGGTGAAAAGCGAGCTGTGAATGGGCTGAACTTGAAAATGTATCACGGACAAATCACGGCACTGCTTGGCCATAATGGAGCCGGAAAGAGCACCACTTTTTCGATGCTTACTGGTGAGTTGATTTTTGAGCAACAGCGCAACCGGTTATTGATGAAGTAAGTATCAACGAAATATTTTTCCAGGTGTCGCCGCGCCATCTGGTGGCACGGCTTACATCAACGACTACGATATCCGGGATGCTTTGCCACAAATTCGGTAATCTGATCAAGACGGGGTTTTTGAAATACTAAATTCAGCAAGCAACTCGGACTTTGCCCGCAGTACAACATTCTGTTCGGAACCCTGACGGTATTTGAGCACCTTGAGTTCTTCTGCAAGGTAGATTGTGAAGAAATTTTTTACGGTACCAAAAACTTGTAGATGAAGGGCCGCCCATGGGATCCGGAAGAGGCTTTGAGCATTCTGAACCGTTTGAGGTAGACGATTCTCACTTGATGCCACTTATGCCGTGTTTAGAATCGAGTTCAAGAAAGATTTCCGAGCTGGTGCTCTCTCTGGTGGGCAGAAGCGTAAGCTTTCCTTGGCCATCGCCCTGATTGGAGGCTCCGAGGTAAAGAAGTAATAATTTTTTTAGTAAAATGGCGTTTAGATTGTTATGTTGGACGAGCCGACCTCAGGTATGGACCCTGGAGCTCGACATGAGACCTGGACGCTCTTACAAGAAGAAAAGAAAAATCGGTAGATTTCTTAGATTGTAGAAATTAAAGCCGCATACATTTTAGCACAATGCTCCTCACAACTCACTTCATGGAGGAGGCCGACCTTCTCGGTGATCGTATCGCTATCATGGCCCATGGAGAATTGCAATGCTGTGGAAGTGGAATGTACTTGAAGAACCAATACGGTTAGCACTTTTACGCGCTTAAATACTTAAATAAATCAAATTCCAGGAGCCGGGTACCATTTGACGATTGTCTACGGAAGACCCGGACAAAATGCCGCGTTGCCTGAAGATGTCCGAAATACACACGATTTGTTGAGAAGGTCAAATACCAGTCACCAAGTCAAACCAACCAAACTTTTAGATTCTGCCCGGATGCGATATTGCAATCTCATGTTGGCCAGGAAGCATCCTTTTTGTTGGCGGCAAGCAATAGACCAAAGTTTGTTGAATTTTGGCTTCTAAAAAGGTATTAGGTTCCCCGAAATGTTCCGTACCCTGGAGGGCAACAAGGTCCAGCTTGGAGTATCTTCCTTCGGTGTCTCGATCACGACTATGGAAGAAGTTTTCTTGAAGTGAGGATCTTCAAAGATACCTTTAATATTTATCCAGGGTCGGTGATCTGGCTGACGAACGTATGAAGATCCATGACGAAGAAAATGAAGAGACGCCACTACAGGAGCAAGAGCGCTACATTAAACGTAATTTGCATAGCAACCATATCAACAAATGCAAAAATTTTAGAACTGCGCGTAACTACTCGGCTCACTGGATTTGCTTATCAAATGCAACATTTCAAGGTTGAGCGAAATTTTGTTGCAATACTGAGCATCTTTAGGCGATGTGGATCAAGCGTATTATCTATTTCCTTCGGAAATGGACGATTTTCATTCCGCAGTTCCTGATCCCGGTATGATCCTCGGGACTTTAGCTGAACTGCTTTAGATTGGATACCTTGCGCTTTTGCTGTGGACCTCAAAGATGAGCCCCAGTGCTGAGGAACAGGTATGTATCGTAGCTTAAATCTTACGCAATCTCGCATTTAAAGGATAGCCTTGCCGTCAACATTTTCGAATATGCCAGTGGAGGAAAGCCTGCCTTCTTCACATGCACAAATGACCCGAGCGAGACCCAGTGCGCACTTTAGGTGTTGACAATCAACATTTTCAGATATTTAAATGCAACCCTGCGGACAAGAGCACCGGTTGATATACAAATCGATAATAGCTTCACCAGCGTCGAACAGACGAGTAATTGGATTATTGAGCAGACCAATAAGCAGGTTGGTAGTTTGTAGAATCCTTCTCAAAACACCTATTTCTTTGATTCAACTTATTCGACAATCTAGGGCTCACGCGGTTTTGGACTTCATAATCCGGTCTCGCTAACGACCTCAATGTTTGGAAAGATAGGTAGTGGCATAGATATTTCTTTTATAGTACATTTTTAGCCTTGTTCAACAACTTCGGACTCCATTCCCCTGCCCTAGCGGTCAGTATCGCTGACTCGGTGGCGCTCAGTGAAGCAATCGGAAAGCCCTATACGATCAATGTCTGGAATCATCCCCTGCCTCCAGCTACCGCGGATAAATTGAAGAATAAAGATGCCCAGTCCGGAGCTGGTTTCTTGATTGCGTAGGTTTTGTATTTTAAAAGCCGCGACGTCAGGCTTCCTTCGTGAGAAAGCCTGCAAAGAAAGCCTCTTTTAGTTACGCCATCATCATTTCCGTGTCAATGGTCGTTTCTGGGTTCTGTTCATTTATTATCCGTGAGAGAAAGAAGAAGTCCAAGCACATGCAGGTTCGTATCCTTCTCAAGATGACCATACATAGTAACATTCCAGATGCTTTGCGGTGTTCGAGCTTGGATGTACTGGTGGACAGCATGGTTGTGGGATGCTATTCAATACTTGCTCACGGTTGCCGCTTTCGTGGGGTTGTTTGCCATTTTTGATATCACGGTAAGATACCTTTATTAATATCAAACTATGATATAATTAAAGGAATTCACAAAAGGCGGAAAGACACTCGGCACCCTATACTTGGCATTTGTCCTGTTTGGCTGGAACGACATTCCATTTGTCTATTGGTTCTCCTTCATGTTCAACACGGCGCCGAAGGGTTATACGCTAATCGTTATGTACCATATCATCTCTGGTAACTCTATATTCTCCTGGTAAATTTCTGCGTTTATAGGAATGATCGGGACGATCGCTATTCCCATTATTCAACAAACGGCAAGTGATGATGCTGCCCATACCTGGAGCATTTTCTTCTCGTTTTTGTTCCCAGTTTATAACATCGCAAACGTTATTACCACGGTATGTCATTTAAACGCAATCGTGAGCGTTTCAGCCAAGATTTTTCGACAACGAGCATCGTACAAGAGTATATCCGTTTAGCTCTATAACAACGAATACGGACGTCAGGCTTGCGAAATGGTGACCTGCTCGAATTCGCTCATCGCACTCCCGCAGTGCTGTGGCGATTATGATGGTAAGTTATAAATTTTTTGTATGCTAATTTTTCTTCTAGATAAAATCTACACCGATACTCCTCTCACCAACACGGGAAAACATGGCATCCTGATCGGATTGATCTTCATGTTCTGCCAAGGTTGGTTGATAAAATTTTCGCCACAAAGATTTTACTAAAGCTGCAGAATAATCCTCGCTTAAGGCTTTGTTTACTGGTTCCTGGTCTACGGCACGGAAACCGGGCTCTTTAAGTGGCTCAGGGCTGCGATGTCCTGCAAGAAAAAGCCGGAAGAGCAGGGAGCTTCCAATGCAGTAAGCAGTTCAGATGAAATGCCAACGTTTTCCCCTCTTTAGGCGTTCAGCTGGGATCAAGACGAGAAGCCTGCCGCGAGCATCGAAGATTCCGACGTTATCGCTGAGAAGCAGGTATTTGACTAGGTTGTTCCACCATAACTTCATTCACGTTTAGAATGTGCTAAATCTGGACCCGGATCATACCGCTGTCTGCGTGAAAGATCTAAAGAAGACCTATGGAAATTTCACCGCCGTTAAGGTAACTGCCCAAGTCTTTTCTTTTAATGCGTTTTTAGGGCGTGAACTTCCACGTGAACATTGGGGACTGCTTCGGACTGCTGGGTGTGAATGGGGCTGGAAAAACAACAACTTTCCAGGTCTACATAATTTGATAAGATTCCATTAAGAGATTTTTTAGATGTTGACTGGTGAGAATGAGATCACTGGAGGTGATGCTACGGTGAAGGGATACAGTGTGAAGAATGATTGGAGAGGAGTAAGCCTTGGAAAGATTCGTAGACATAGTCTTTGTGCTTTTTGCTGCAGTTTTTAACTATATTTTCACTTTTAAATGCTATTACGTATGTTTTCAGCTATTTTTAAGACTTATTTTTGTCATTGGGCGCGTTTCGTTCGCTATGGGGCATGTGGAACCGGGAAATTCCTCGGCCGAGAAAGCATTCTCACCCCGGTTCTCCGGGACCACCCATTGCGTGCGCCGTGGGTGGTCAAAATCTGTGCAGTAGGGCCAATTGTCACAGACACCTCTGAAGCTTATAAATAAAATAAAATCCTAATAAATATCGCCTACACAAAATTATTTGCATCAATTGAAATTAAATAAATTCCAGGCCGGAGCCAACATCGGCTACTGCCCACAGTTCGACGCAATCATCAAGGAGATGAGCGGAGAGGAAACGCTGTACATGTTTGCCAGAATCCGCGGCATACCGGAAGCTGACATTCCACAGGTAAAATTAGTTCTACCCTGAAATTAATCTGCAAAGACAAAAATTTAAATCCTAAACCAACGTAATTTCAGATGGTTGATGCTGTAATCCACTCGATCGGTATCGGCATCTATGCCAAACGCCAAATCAAGGGATACAGGTAAGTATAGATTTACTTTTCTTACGGTACATGCAAAATTATATAATTTAGTGGTGGAAACAAGCGCCGTCTTTCCCTTGGAATGGCGCTTGTTGGTCTTCCCGATGTTCTTCTCCTTGATGAACCGACCACCGGTGTCGACCCAAAAGCCAGGAGAATCATTTGGAACATTTTGTCCAAGGTACTTCCGCGCAACCTCTCAAAATAATATGATTAGGTCCGAGAACAAGGCACAGCTCTTGTGCTTACTTCCCATTCGATGGACGAGTGTGAAGCTCTATGTACAGAATTGGCCATCATGGTCTATGGACAGTTCCGTTGCTACGGAAGTTGTCAGCATATTAAGAGTCGGTAAGTGGATGGTTGAAATATGGGTCGAAAATGCATTTAGATATGGTGCCGGTTACACCCTACTGGTCCGTTTGAAGGATGGGAAAGACCCTAGACAGGCGATGAACCGAATACTGTCACAATTCCCTGGGTCAAACTTGAAAGAGGAGCACGTACAACAGCTGAACTTTGAGTTGCAGCGGCGGGATGGAGAGACCTGGTCTGGGTTGTTTGAGCAGGTGATCCAGATTAACTTGGAGAATAAACTCGTAAAAATTCAGATCGAGAAGATTGCCACCGAGCTCGATTTTGAGGACTATTCGCTGAGTCAGACAACTTTGGAACAGGTTAGTTTGGCTTCAAGGCTATTTGAAAAGAGGCTTGAATATCCCACAAAGCCGCTTTTTCAGGTGTTCCTCGAGTTCTCGCGAGATGCTGGTGTCTCTTCAGAAGATGGACCGCCACTTATCCAGCCGTCCAAGCAGAACGGACATTCGAATGGCATCCAAACTTCCGTCTATAACACCCTTGTCTAAAAACATCCCCTGCTCAAATTTTTACACTATGTGGCCCTCACGCAGCCCTACTTACCTAGCTTTTCTAGCTCTTTTTTTCATTATACATTAATTCCTGCATGTTTCACATCGTTTTTCACATTCCAGGCTGTATCGGCCATCCTTGAATTACGGGCATATTAGCCGGATTATTCCATTACTTCCACGACCCCCCCCCCTCCCTGTGCACTTGACCGTCTAGTCTTGCTCAAGCTACTGTATTATTATGACTATTGTTGAATAAATATTTTGAATTTATTTATTGCAAATCATATTATAGCAAAATTCAACAGAGGGCGCAGGTCTTGGCACACATTTGTTTCTTTTGCTGGGTCGTGTATTTTGAGGAGGAGCAGTAGCCACGTCGATTCCAATCTGGGCATCTAAATTCGGATTGTTTTTGTAATGGGCAGTAGAAACTTGGCGGCTGCATCGTAGCATCCAGGCTCGCAATTGCCACATGTTTGACGGCAAAGTCGATTCATCATCTCCCGGTATTGGAGCTGATTGCAGAGTTGCGACTGGATGATATGGGTTATAATTAATAGATATAATACTCACTTTTGCAACACAGTCTGTTGCCTTATCTTGACAAATCACCGGCTCAATTGTCGTACTTCCGGTCTCACCACCATGCGGACACCGCTGACATGTTGAAGGGCATTTATCCGTCATCGTATCATAGTAATCCACGCTATTGCAAAATTTCTGGAAACTTTTCATTTCTAAGCTCCTCTCACTTTTAACGCCCGACACGTCGTCGCTTCCTCAATATCCAGACATGTTCTAGAATTTTCGATATTACAAAGCCCACATGTGGCCGGGCATTTCTCCTGAAAAATGATTTCCTAAATCTTTTTGAAAGGGCTCTACCTTCATCAGCATATAAAAACTTGTATTATTGCACTCTGCTTGAAGTGCGGTGCAATTCAATACAGTATCCGGTTGCGGGTTTGTGCAAGAAAATAGATTACATGCGTCACAAGTCACAAGACATTCCTAAAAGCTTTCCAGTTTTCAGGACATTGTTTGCAGGACAGTACCTGCAAAAAATGTTCAAACTCGGGATTCAAACAGTCGGACTTGTTTTGAAAAATGCTTTCGCATCGTTCGAGTGGGCTATCCCGTTCGCAGGATTCTAATTCGTCGGCGGCAATAACAAATAAAAAGCAAAATGCGGAGAGTAGCAGAAAATGTAGCTTAAAGTATGCCATCATAGCTCTCAAGTTGTAATAGTTATTCGCAGACTATATACCCACTGTACCGCAGCTACTCAAATAATGGGTACCGTGAAAACAGGCTGCACAATGGGGCTTTTGGTACCATGGGATATCTACTATTTTGAGCAACAAGAACATTCAGCAATGCCTTTTCCACACAAAAAAAGTTTAATTTGTTAACTTTTCCGCAACTTTGAAGCTAGCCTGCGTACTGGTTTCATACAGCCATTTTTCGATCGGTACTTGGCTTAAAGGGCTAAATTTTATTGTTCGATGCCGTCTCGGTCTCAAAACCATTGTATTCGAGCAGTTCCGCTATCCGTCAAAATGGCGCCAAACACTGGCGTGACCCGCAGCAACCTGTTAGTGGATGATGGCGGCATGCCGGTGGTTACCCCTCCCCCCCCCGGGGGTTCTGGATGAGAAGAACTGGTTCAAACCCTCTGTCCAGCTCTCCCATTTACTTGACCCACAGAAAAAGAAAACCAGGAAATACTAGTAGTCGTAGTAACTATTTTATTGCCTCGAGAAAATAGGCAACTTCAAAACAATTTAGAAATATTGTTATTAGAGATGAATATCTTAGCCGGTCGCGCTGTCACTATTTCGCTTGTATGTGTTTTCTAAAAAACCTTCAAAATAATTTTTATTCCCGCTTCTCTTTACTAACAAATACCCGGGAAGAATTGAGCTTTTACTGGCGACGAAGAAGCTTCTTCCTAAGACGTGCTCCCTCTGAGTACGTTGCTCCACTTCCGCCGGATTGAGCTCCTGAACAGATGTGATTAATATCTCTGCACTTGTCATACCTCCTTCGGAGTACGAGGCACCTCCACCTCCGCCACTGCTCTCTGAGTAGCTAGCTGCCGGAGCGGCAGCTGGAGCTGGGGCTGGAGCGGAGTAGCTTTCTGGAAAACTTATGTCCAATTTGGCTATAAAGGAACTGCGAATGACATCATACTGCACTCTCGAATCACGAGGGCTTTAGACTTACGAGGAGCAGCTGCAGGAGCTGAATAGCTAGGAGCAGCAGCCGGGGCAGAGTAACTTTGAGCGGCAGGGGCCGAGTAACCGCCCCCACCTCCAGCAGGAGCTGAGTACCCGCCACCTCCAGCAGGAGCTGAGTAGCCGCCACCTCCAGCAGGAGCGGAATATCCACCACCTCCAGCAGGCGCCGAATAACCACCACCGACAGGCGCAGAATATCCACCTCCAGCTGCGCCGGCATATCCGCCTCCACCAGAAGAGGCGTAACCACCTCCCATCGGAGCGGCGTAGCCGCCTGAAAAAAATGAAAAATGAGCGTAGGTCACAAGCTTGTAAACCTACCTGAAAACCTTGTCCTGAAAACCTACCACCACCACCTGGGGCAGCATAACCGCCGCCTCCACCAGATGCCGCGTATCCCGAAGAAGCCGGTCCGCCACCACCTAAAATACAAATGATACATCTACATACAAAACATACATCCAGAAGGCGCAGAGGCATAACCTCCGCCGCCTCCGCCTCCGCCGCAGCCTCCGCCCGATGGAGCAGTAGCGTATCCGCCTACACCACCGCTAGGAGCAACGGCGTATCCCCCACCGCCTCCTCCGCTAGGGGCCACAGCGTACCCACCGCCGCCTCCCCCTCCTCCTCCACAGCCGCCACCGCTGCCTAAATAAATAGTTGCCGTATTTTCTCAAATCGAAACCGGGGGAGGGGGTTGTCTTAGAGAGAAGGATGTTTTTTAGTTTTAGAAATTACAACTATTTTAAGCTGTTGAAACTGCTAACGACCACTTAGGAGCACCGAGCAACTCAAACAGAAACATTTTTTCTTCTTAAAGCAACTTTGAAAAAATGTTGGGGATTCTATTAGAGGAAATACGGTATCGGGTCCATTGCAACGAACAATACTGCGATAATGCGCGAAGCCACCCTTTTCCACTTTGGGATCCGAAAGAGCCCGTAAATGGCTTACCGCCGCCTCCGCAGCCACCTCCTCCTCCACCACATCCACCACCTCCGCCTCCGCAGCCTCCGCAGCCTCCACCGCAACCGCCGCCTCCTCCACAACCTCCGCCTCCACCACATCCTCCTCCACCTCCGCAGCCTCCGCCGCATCCGCCACCTCCTCCACCGCAGCCTCCACCACCTGAATAGATCACGTTGTATCTCGGTCCTTCTTTCGCATCAGATCTTTCAGCATTATGAGAATCGCGAGGCTATTAAAATAAGCTACCCCCACCGCAGCCTCCTCCGCCTCCTCCGTATCCACCTCCTCCACCACATCCGCCGCCTCCTCCGCAACCACCGCCTCCTCCACATCCACCGCCTCCACCTGAAAAATTAACATACATAGTTCAAATTCAACGTCCTAAAGACGCTGGAACAATCAGTACTAATCATCAATATTTATAGTTGACAACCAGTAAACCAAATCTGTGAAAGCCGTTGCTCCGAGCTGAACAATCCGGATCAACTCGAGATTTCAAAGGAGAAACTCTATAAAACTTAGGTCCGTACCTCCACATCCTCCTCCGCAACCGCCGCCGCCGCCTCCGCATCCGCCTCCACATCCTCCACCTCCTCCTCCACAGCCTCCTCCACCTCCGCAACCGCCTCCTCCGCCTCCACATCCGCCACCTCCTAAAAACGATATTCATTTGTTCTAGCAAGGCTTTGTGCGAATATCGAATATCGAATACATGAACTATCCATGATAATAGAACTTACCTCCGCCGCATCCACCGCCACAAGACGGAGCCGGAGAAGGGCAAGGTGGTGGGCATGGTGGTGGGCACGGGGGTGGGCAAGGTGGTGGACAGCAAGGTGGTGGTGGGCGACAGCATCCCCCTCCTCCACCTCCACCGCCTCCACATCCACCTCCGCCTCCGCCTCCGCCAAATAAGAAGCGTTTCACGCGGAGATGCACCTCATTTGATCCGACGGCGGGCATCGGCTCCAAGAAGCCGAGCACGGGCACCGCCACAAGGGCGAATGCCGCGAGCACGTACTTCATCTGAAGGGATTGGCAAGTTTCAAAGATTGGAGAAGAAATCTAGAAAGCTAAAGAAGAAAAACTGAAAGCCGGATGCTGGAGGATGATACGAAAAACCTCAAAATTGATTTGCAGAAACCTAAATTCGCAGGATTACGATAAATTAAATTTCCAGGCCAATCTCTGCTTGATGAGTGCAAGTCAAAGCGGAAATGCTGAGCTAGTTAGCGGATGGGTTGAGAAGAGAGACGGTCCGGGCTTAAGTAGTTGGTACGACATGGAGGGGGGCGGTGTAGACAGAAACAAAGAGCGCCTTCATGGAACTGCCAGTTCTGCCCAACCCCCTCCTTCCCAACCACCACACTCCATTGGGTAGACCGGGTTGTCAACTTCTCCCTCTAGACAGCCCGCAGGGCATAAGCAAGGGTCGGCATGGACCTGCCAACTTGCTGCCAAGAAGGTTAGCCCTTTCTTTCGATGATATGAAAGCGATGAACCGTCTTGGGTGGCATGCCCACCACATACATTCCACAGTAATTCAGAGGAACAAGACTGGGGAACCACAACACACCTTTACGTACGAAGAGTTTTATCAACGTATCCAATAACGTGTACAAGGCCAATATACACTTTCTGATTTATTTTGCACCATAGGATGATTCGATAAGGCCGAGTTGTCCAAACAGAATTCAATGTATTAACGAACCAGATTGCCATAAACATTCACGGGGTTTCCTCAAAAACTAATTCCGGTTAGCTATGTTATTGTTTGATGCTTAGTTATCTTAACTCAAAGAGTTATACGGTGACTTCAAGAGATCCTGCGAGTACAAATCCACATTTTCAGTGGATTACAGAAAATTTTCCAGATTATACCGGCTTTGGGCGCCAATACCCCTTATCATTCCACCGCGCACTAATGAGTGCCATACCATCATAACCGATGTCTCGTGCGGAAAAAGCAATGACTGGTTATAGATCCCATATGGCTTTAACTTTTTTTGAGCAACTTCGATTTTCGATTGTTCCAACTAATAAATGGATTATTAGTTGGAACAAATGAATTTGCCCGATCTAAAATTCTCCAGGTGTTACCATCCAATCTAATGCGTCACCCACTATCGCTAGAGCTCCTACTCCCTGGAATCGCTGATTGATTCCATCATCGACAGCTATCTAGCCATCAAGGGACAAAACGAGAAAGTTTTTGCTTCTATTATGAAGAACAGTGAAAGAGAGATATAGAGGAACGACGACGATAGAAAACGAGACCTACCGCTGTGCAGTTCTTCTAGTAACTGATAGGAAAGGTTAGAGTGTTTCAGAAAACAATATAAAGGGGATAGAGGCCAGGGAGGAGTCGTAGCGTCACATCTCCCCGATGTCACTATATAAAGAAAACAGGATATGCTAGTTGCACCGTGTTGCCAGCCGTTGCCATCCACAGATTGGCATCACCCGTATAAAGGCGTCGTAGGGAGGGGTGGCTACTGGTTTAGTTAGACACACATTTACTTCCAAGCAGCCAACGCTCTGCTAACGCTTTTTATCTAATTCCTAAAATGCTTCTAGGATATAACCAGCGCAGTCCGGGTAATTTCTTGCCTAAATAACAATCCCTTGTATTTTCACTCATTTTAATAGCGTTTATCTTATCTCATCTCTTTCATGTCTTTGCGATTTATTCAAAGTTACCATTTTCAGTATGAAGTATTTGATATTAGCATCCGCCCTTGCGGCGGTGCCGGTGCTCAGCTTCCTAGAGCCGATGCCCGCCGTCGGATCGCACGAAGTGCATTATCCGTGCTAAACGTTTCTTATTCGGGGGAGGCGGAGGCGGAGGCGGAGGCGGAGGCGGATGTGGAGGTGGTGGTGGCGGAGGATGTTGTTGTCCACCACCACCTTGCTGCCCACCACCATGTTGCACTGCAGCAGCAGCCGCTGCCCCAACATGTGGTGGAAGAAGCGGGGGATGTGGAGGTGGATGTGGCGGAGGTGTTGAAGAAAGTTATGCTTTGTATTACCATTTTAGGCGGTGGTGGTTGTGGTGGAGGATGCGGTGGAGGTAGAAGTGGTGGCGGTTGTGGTGGTCGTTGTGGCGGAGGTATTTATATTTCTTATAATTTTGATATTTTTAGGAGGTGGAGGAGGATGCGGTGGCGGCTGTGGAGGCGGCAGCGGAGGTGGCTGTGGAGGAGGCTGCGGCGGAGGAGGTAGGCGCGAGAACCGCAGGACCTATTGGAGGCGGTGGTTATGCTGCAGCCGGTCCATCTGCTGGCGGAGGTTATGCTGCTGCTGGACCCGCTGGTGGCGGTTATGCCGCCGCCGGCCCAGCCGGTGGTGGTTATGCTGCCTCCGGTGGCGGTGGAGGTAGGAATACTTTCCGGACAATTCTAACCAAAAATTTGACTAAATAAACATACCCATTTAGGATATTCTGCCCCTAGTGCAGGTGGTGGAGGGTACGCCCCTCAGCCGGTAGCTCCAAGGCCGCCACCACCTCCACCGGCCCCAGCACCCCAACCTGCGCCTGCACCTGCGCCCGCACCCGCTCCATCAGGAGGTTACGAAGAGCAAGGAGGGGAGACAGAAGAAGCTTCTCCCGCTACTTATCAAGGAGGTGCTGCCGGTAAATGGCCCCATTTTTTTGTGGATACGACAGCTTTCCAGAGGAAGCTCCTGAGGGGGACAGTGAGGTTTCATTGCCTGGACCCGCTCCTTCAGCTCAAGGAAGCTCATATCACGGAGGACAAGAAAGCGAAAGCCAGCCAGCCGCAGGAGGATCTTACCAAGTAAGCCTGTTTTTCATTAGGCTCTTTTAGCGTCTTAGGCTCGTGAGGAGGAAACGCCGGCAGGAGGCGAATCGACAGTTGAAGAAGCTTCGGCACCAGCCGAGACAGTAGAAGAGGTAGGTACCCTAAGCATCGGTTAAGTTTTTTGAGAAATCATCCGCTCCGGAACCGCCGGCAGCTGGTTCGTACAATGGAGACTTCGGAGGGGAAGTTTCTGGCGGTGATGCCCCAGCAGCTGAGGTATATTGATAACTACCTGAAATATTTTCAAGGATACGGATGTCGGTGGAGACGAAACCGCCGCGGCCGCCGCTGAAGATATCACGGGTGTGGCACGAAGTCCGCGTAACTTCCACTTTTAGGAAACGGAAATGAGGTAGCGAGCGAACAAACCGAATCTGGGGGACAATATGACGCCACCAAGGCAGTAGGCAGAGTTTCATCGGGTTTATTAAAATGTTTTAGTCTTTCCGCCACCGCAGGTCTGACAAGAAATCTGAGCATGGTACGGATTGCAATTCGGAGCGACTGGAGAAGTTGATTCGAGAGAGCAGTACCGGAACAGCCGAAGATGCGGTGCAACGTCTGAAGACGTTGCTTTCGGCTAGGTCAGATTTTAACAGTTTTGTCATAGGGAATTTTTGCAAGCCGTTTTAGGGTGCACTGTGTTCGAAAAGAGGGAAATTTGATTTGTGATTCGTAAGTGATACTTGAAAGAGCCGGAGCATATCACTCCATAGCTGGATTTGAATAAGCTCACCATAACGCTTACTTATCTGCTAAATGGCGAAACCATATTTTATCAGCTAGCTTGCCAAATAGTCTTTTTGCGAAAATACTTTATAGCATAGTACAATATGATTCTTCAGTATTCCTGGCGAATTCTATGTGGCCTGCGGGACTGAGGACATCAAGCCGCTTGTGAAGGAGACCCGGGAACACTGTGTCGTCAAGAACCCAACATTCACTTGCTACGTCGTCAAACATTGAGCATTTCGATAATTTAATCTCACCTATCTGGATGCAATCCGTTTTTTTATTGAACTTATAAAGTATTTTCTTAAAAAATGGCCTTATTGATGCTACAGGAAAAACACAATTAAGGCCGCTTCCAACATAGGGAGCTTGGGCATAATGTCTGTGTTCGGCATTTGGCACGAGTTTCAATTATCATGGATATCAAGTTTTTTAGTAGCTGGTGCCTATAAAACTCTATAAAACTAAAATTAACGAACACTCCGAGAACAATATATCTATTTAATGTTCCCAATCGCCTCTATAATTCCGATTTGTCCCTACCGTCTCCATCAAATAATCGCTCTTCACCCATAATATCTCACAGCTAGTTAAATTTTTTGATTTCTACCTAGGAACGCACTCCGGAATTTCTGTAATTCTTAGAGACCCTGAAATGCAATGTGTAGTCTTGAACGACCGTTGCAAGATTCCTTGGTCAATTTCCAAGGCTTTTTAGACCAATCCCTCCTGCTTTCAAATATCTAAATCGTACAGTGGTTTAAAACGATATCTGATTGCTGATCGGGTGTATGTGTGAAGATGTTCCTGCCCCTCGACACGGCCATTGGATCCTGATCAGATAACGGATGTTTTGTCTGCCAGTTGACGGAGCCCCACCCCAGGGCTCCTTCTCGATTCCGGTATCCATACCGTCCCAGCTCATTCGCTTTCTGCTCCTGAATTTTCGTAAATGGCCCAGACTTTCAGTAAGGTCTCGATGCATCAATTCTTCAGATTTACATATAAACCTATCTAGCTAAGATGCGCGGCTATGAGAGTCAGAAGGCCTAGAACGATCACCGCCGTTTTGAGGTCCCCAGATGCCCAACTGTGTCAATATAATCGGCATCAGTTTCTTTAAGATTTCAACAGCTCTTCTTATTAAAACAAGCAGTGCTGATCCCTAAATGTGTAATACAATGAATCATTACAATCGATCTCTTGCTTCCAAAAACAACGTTGCTTGTTTTTATTCCACCTCCTTGATCGGGACTCGTCATAATATATGCAGCATATTTCGCAAGACAGACGTTTTAGAAGGCCACCTTTATGAAATATCTTCTTTTTTTCGGACTTGCGTAAAGGGGTAAGCTTAGGCTTAGGCTTAGGCTTAGGCTTAGGCTTAGGCTTAGCTTAGGCTTAGCTTAGGCTTAGGCTTAGGCTTAGGCTTAGGCTTAGCTTAGGCTTAGCTTAGGCTTAGGCTTAGGCTTAGGCTTAGGCTTAGGCTTAGGCTTAGGCTTAGGCTTAGGCTTAGGCTTAGGCTTAGGCTTAGGTTTAGGCTTAGGCTTAGGCTTAGGCTTAGGCTTAGGCTTAGGCTTAGGCTTAGGCTTAGGCTTAGGCTTAGGCTGAGGCTTAGGCTTAGGCTTAGGCTTAGGGGGCTTAGGCTTAGGCTTAGGCTTAGGCTTAGGCTTAGGCTTAGGCTTAGGCTTAGGCTTAGGCTTAGGCTTAGGCTTAGGCTTAGGCTTAGGCTTAGGCTTAGGCTTAGGCTTAGGCTTAGGCTTAGGCTTAGGCTTAGGCTTAGGCTTAGGCTTAGGCTTAGGCTTAGGCTTAGGCTTAGGCTGAGGACTTCTCAAGTAATATCGGTCCTGCGAAATTAATTTTTTCGTTATTTCAAGAAACTCTAGCAAATCGTGCACAGCTGTGGCCCTGTGCTGCATTATTGCAAAGGCGCGATGCTTTTTCGGGCACTTTGGCCTGATGCTTCCTTGCTCATCGTAAGACTCCACTTTCATGTCGAACGATTCTCGGGAACTTTCTGCTACCATTTCTGCTCCGTTTCAGACCAAAAACCCTCGACAGCCCTTTAAGAAATACCATTTAGATAATGCCGAAGCCAAAGGTCCAAAAGGTGAAGCGCAACGAGTGCTATCTGCGAATCAAATCTCTGACTGATATCGAACAGTTTGTCGACCTCACCCATGCAATTGAGCTGCGACAGTAAAAATTGGTGCATAATTCGTTACCCACAGCCATTTAGGATCCAGATTTGGCCCGACGATATCCCAATGCATTGCATTACCTCGCGCGTGAAAACAATTCAGAAGGATACGATTGTAAGTTTAACTTCTAAGCATCAAAAGTTGACTCAAACTCTTCAATTCCTGTCGGAGTTAATGATTAACTTTTCGGAAACCACTTGTACCCCATCGAAAAAGGAAATCAAGGCAATTAGCCGGCACACCGTGGGGGAAAACACGAGCTAAATTATTTCAGGGACTCATCCACGATCTTCGTTCGCGTAGACTGTGCGAAGCGAGCAAACAAGTGTTGTCCGGACAGATGGATGGCGATAAAAAACTCTGGGAAATCGTCGAACACCCGAAAGCCTGGAATCTCACCGCCCGTGGAGTGACTTTTATCATTCGCAAGCATCGTCCACCAAATCAGCCCAGTTCCTGGAGTCCTTCCGCTATCCTGGCTTCCGTACGCTCGATTCCCTCTCGCATCATTTCCCGTTTTTCGGTGCGTCAACAGGAACGCGAAGTTCCTGTCGACAAGCTTAATTTGATTGAGGATCAGAAATAAGGCATCATGGCAAGAAAACCTGCGGTTAGGGGCCTCTTTGCTGTGATTTTCAGTGGCTTTGAGTTTTCCAAGCTCCCCCCTGCCTTATTAGATTCAAAGCGTTGCACGTAGTTGTCAATCTTTACATTTATTAATCCTGAGCTTCAACCAGTTTTACACCCGCTACCTTCCCTTTCTAAACGGCGATAATTCTCACAATAATTGCAGGCTTGCACATAAAATACACCAAGTGCGTGGAAGCTGTAATATATCATCTTCCCCTGAATTTCCCCGTGCACGCTGTTCCCCTCATTATTAAAATTCCTATGTTCGTGTAAGAGTACGTGCCGATAAATTTATTTGCGCAAGAATGTTATGTGCAACAACCGCAGGACAACACGTATGAAAGGCACCAAACGATCAGGCACCCAGTTCCGAGAAATATAGACATGGTTACACCAACAAGACTCAAAATAATGTAAACATCTAAAGTTGAAAGCAAGACATTCGATATCGTCAGGTGTCGTGGTTCTTTGTGGCTTTTCACTCCGTCTATATTTATTATGCTCAAACGGAAAGCTTTCATTCTGGGGGGAAAAAGGCAATCGCCGGTCCTGCCGGACTTCCACCGCTTGAGCGACTGAAACCAAAACAACAACAGCTTTTCATCGAGTCAATATAGAGTCTATTTGGCGTTGAAATGTTACCATATGTTTCATACAAGATTTTAGGACCGATCCCGAGGCCTCAACACTTATTTAGGCGAAATATGCCAGTTTCAGGAAGCTCTATCGAATTCCGCAGCCCAGCTCGGCGTTAGAATTTTTTCAGGTTATCGTTTTGCCGATAACATGACCAACCACTTCTTAAAAAACCATTTCACCCAGACCTGTTGCTATTCACAATCAGTAATTGGTCATAAGGTTTTTGTTAGAGCCCTATTTTCATCTAGAGACTATCCTAACTTTCTATCCCATATTGAGCGGCGCAAGTCAAAAAAAAGTTGCATCTTTTTCGTTGCGCATCTAAAAATTCTAAGCATATCTTTCAGACAAATCATGCGAAATGTTTTTGTCTTTTTGCCGTTTTAGTAATTCAGGAGAAGAGACCGTTGCCTCTGCCCTCTTCCCATTGCCCGCTATTTCCTGGCAACGTGACCGTCCCGTGGGTGGGCTCGGCCGGCCAGCTTTACCCCGCGTAAAGCATCCGGGATTTATTTTTACCAACTTCTTATGATGAAATTGAAGCGTTTAACCTTGTTTTCGAACCTTTACAAAAGTAATAAGCTAGACTTTGTTTTTCCGACCCCACAATTGAGTTTTCGGTGAATCCGTTCTCTTTCCATGATTTTATTACGCCATTCCCGTGTGCTAATTTGTTTTAGACGATGTCGAACGGGCTCATTATGGCCGGTATGGCCATAGCGGCCGCCGGTTTCGGTGCAAGGATGCTGCTAAAGAATAGGGTATATCAATCGTTTCAATTTTAGATTTATACTTATCATTTTTAGGCTGTGATCAAGAAGGGGCTCGAACAAATTCCTATTGCCGGCGAGGTCTTCGATAAATACCACCGTGGCGGCTTCGAGGTTTGTTATTTATCCTTTACAGTGTTGCCTTACAAGTATTCTAGGGAATAAAAAATGCAATTATACGTGTTGTTTTTTTTCAGCAGAAGATGTCGAGGCGTGAAGCTGCCATGATCCTCGGGGTGCCAGCTACAGCGAAGCCAAACAAAATCAAAGAAGCCCATAAGCGCATCATGATTGCGAATCACCCGGATCGAGGTGGGATTTTCGTTTATTTGAGCCTGCCTTGTTCGCGCGGAAACTGTCATAAAGCTTTTTTAGGTGGCTCTCCCTACTTGGCCGCAAAGATCAACGAGGCAAAGGATTATTTGGAAACGAATAAGAGCTAGAATCTGCCCTATAATTACGTTTTTATCGCTAGAATTAGTTGTTTGGAGGTTTTGGTTTTGTGTACTGTTTACTAGTGTGTGTTTTTTTGTTTGTTTACGGGTATTTAACAAGGCGACGAATAAAGTGGTTCATTATTTGGCCTTGATACTGAAGTGGATCGCCGAACCTCGTATTTGAAAGTCGACCATTTTTTCTAACTAATCTTTTGGCCAGGATGCCCCGTAATACCATCAGGGTGCGCAGATCCTCATCGCCAGACTCCTTGTTTGCCCCCTCATTTCCAGGTAATTTTTTCATTCGTTCTCTGACCATAGTTCCTTTAGCTCGCGTCTGGCGGTTTCTCACAGGTGGTGAATCATGGACGTACTACCACTTTTCTGTCTTCTTCATCACCTTTTTTAGGTAAGGATTTACGGATTGTTTTAAATGTTGTTCAGTTTTGCCTTTATCCATGCGACTAGGAAGACGTTATCGACTGTTAAACCTACAATGATACAGGTGGGGTTTCTCGTTTTTTTTCACGTTTTTTTTCATTTAGAATTGGATACACAATCGATCATCTACGGAGCCTCCTCTTTTTCCATCAGAGGAAGCCGCGAAGGAATTTATGGCGTTCTTGGATTTCGGCTTTTTGTTCGCTTATGCAATAGTAAGTTTTTCGAGCCTTTATGATCTTATCGGTATGCCATTTTGCTGCGTCTTAATCATCATTACGTCTTTTTATTTCCATTTCAGGGTCTGTTTTTCGGTGGGATACTTGGCGACCGATACAACCCACGTCTTGTGCTAGCGATTGGGATGTGGCTGGCGGCGATTTCTGTAAGTCTCTTATTTCCTTTTGTAACCCAAGTTGAGGCGTTCTTCTTCGGTTTCGTCTCGGAGAGATATCACATCTACAACACGTACTTTTATGCATTTTTTTGGATTGGCAGTGGATTATTCCAAAGCGTCGCTTGGCCAACTGAGGTATGTTTCATTAAAAGTTGTCATTTTTGCTTCCTTAACTCGTACCGTTAAGTTTTAGCTAAAGCTGGCGTGGTCGCCTTTTGAAGACTGATAGCCAAATTATTTATTTGTAGGTCGCGGTTATGGGCAATTGGTTTGGCCATGCATCTCGCGGGATTGTCATGGGCTTCTGGAGCGGATGTGCCAGCGTTGGGAACATTATTGGAACCCTGATCACCAGTAGGATTATTGTGCTCGGATATGAGGTAATGATTACAAGCTGTTTTTCGAACCTTTTTTAGTGGGCCTTCGCGGTCAACTCCTTCATTTTGTTCATCTTTGGATTCGTCGTGTATTGGCACCTTGTCCCCTCTCCTCGGGATGTTGGTGAGGGTCCAGCTTTGGGAACATATGCGTAGATTTAGGTCTCCCGGAGCCGGCGGAATCTCCGGATGAGCGTAATCGGGTCATTGAGGAGGCAGCCGACCGTCCAGCGCCAATTTCATTCTGGAAAGCTTGGTTGTTGCCTGGAGTGATCCCGGTAACTTAGATTTTATGCACGCGTAATTATCTTTTTCTAGTACTCGCTTGCGTATGCTGGTTTGAAGCTGGTGAATTACGGGTTTTTCTTCTGGTTACCGACGTATCTTCTCAACGAATTCCAATGGTCGATAGGTAACTTCTTTAGCATAATTGAAGGTTTCGTTCAGAGGAGGCTGATGCACTTTCCACATGGTATGATGTTGGTGGAATTTTGGCAGCAATTGTTGCAGGCGCTGTTTCGGTTGGCTATTTTCTTTCCGCTTTATTTTCGGCGAGGTATTTTCATGTAAAGTTTTTTAAGGATCACTTCTCGACTCGAACACCGATTGTTATGACGATGTTAGGATGTGGCATTATATCACTATTGGCTTATTCAAGTGAGAATTATTTCGCTTTAATCCTTGTTTTAGGAAGCCCGGCTAACTACTGCATCAACGGAGCATTGTTAACGATTACTGGGTTCTTTGTTGGTGGACCAGCCAATATGATTTCTGGGGCTATTTCCGCTGATCTAGGTAACTTTCGCTCGTTTTATGGACTTTGAATTAGGAAAATCTCGAGAATTGCGCGGAAACATTGCCGCTTTGTCTACTGTAACCGGGATCATTGATGGTACCGGAAGTGTAAGTGCTCTTGGAATCTTTTTTATTTTTTGGATTTTTATAGGTTGGCGCTGCGCTGGGGCAGTTAGTCATCCCTTCGATAGAACTGTGGTTCGGATGGGTTGTGATTTTCTACTGCTTTGTTTTTATGGTGAGCACGAACATTCGAATTAATTTTCCGTTTAGCTGATTCTGACGATGCTCTGCATTTCTCCACTGTTATGGCGAGAAATCCAGGCTTGGAGATTGGCAAGGGCTGAAAGACATGTAGCTGGCGAGCAAGAAGGCCTGCTTTTCGTAAGTTTTGATGACGCTAATTTCTGGTCGTATCTGTTTGGAAATGGAACGCAGAAGCAACCGCTAAATTTCAGGAAGACTACGATGAAAACGGCCATCTCCATCACGCGTGATGATGTTGCACTAAATGTACAAACGCACCTTCCCCTCGATCATTAGTTTTCCAGCGTCTTTCTGGACGATAGCTTTATTTGCGGTGTTCGCACATATCTGTTTTGATAGTACTTCATCTCTTGTTTGAAGTCTTTAATACGGCTAACAACTTCCCGATGCGTATCTTATAATACCCGGTTGGGTGGTCCCCTTCTTACTGTGATAATGTGCACAGCCGGATTGGCCTTTGTGCTTCAGCTTTTCCAAAGTGGCCATCATAATAAAGTATTACAAAATCTTTCTGTGTGCAGACGAAAGTACACGAATTGCGCAGCTTGTAGGCGGTGATGTTGGCACTAGATGAGTCTGCGCTTTTCCATTTTTTCCCGCTTTGGACTTACCGAATGGAATAGAGAGGGTGTTTCCTCGCGGCAGCAGGCTTGGGTGCACCTTGATTGAGATCTCCGCCACGAAGACTGGGTCAGCCTAGGGGAGGATCGGGGCAGCTATTGGAGGTGAAGCCCCCCTCCTCCCTCTCCTACGAACTTATTATTTCTTCTTTTAATTTGTCTTATGCTCCTTCCATTGCTATTTTCCCCCACCCCTCACATTTTACCGCGTGCCAGATCGATTTCCGTCGAATTACTTGTGGCGCTTCTAATTACAATTTCTCTTTTGGCCGGAACCCTTTAGTTTCCGCCTGATGGCCCGGGTGGCGAAAATGGTCTCAAGGACCGTGGCGCTATTCCAGCGTGCCAGGAGGGCTTTGGAATCTCGATGGCAAAATATGGAACCACGGGAATTCTCCACTCTGGTGCGTATCCCCTAAAAACAAAGCGCATCAAATTGTCCGGTCTGTTCAGGTTTTTCGGCTGTGCTTGATCATCTCGGCAATTCTTGGAGGCATGGCCGTCTACCAGCGTACAATCAACATGTGGTCAATGAAAAACATTGGTAAAAATCTGACTACAGGCAATCGCATTGCATTCCAGGCGATACGTTTCTGCGAAAAGAGATAGGATCTAGGCAGATCGTACTTGGTGCATTTTTCCGCGAAAAAAGTGAGCAGAACCTGGAAGGAAAATATGCGGTTAGTTGGGTGCTTGGTTGATATGAAATTCTTTACAAAATTTTATCTTTTTTTTTCTGCTGGCTACGGCTACGGCTTGGTCCAGAATACTATGGCCAGGTTTAGATAATTCACTTTCTGGGCGATGGTCGGTTGGAACATCCACTTTATTGCCACACACCGATGGCTAACGGCGAAACCCTAACGACTAGAGCACACGTTCAACGGATACACCGTGGTAAGGACTTGGATTTTTTAGAAGTGACGATTTTCTTCTAATCGGATATTTTCCAGGTAAGCGAGCAGCCAACGATATTTGCGCTTGGGCCGGTCACATCGCCGAATGTGAAGTCGAAGTGCATACACATCATGAAATGCGGTATAACGAAACAGAGAATCGACAGTTTAATGATATTTTTAGCATTGGCACATCGCCAGACCCCCTTGAATCGATGCTCATCAAGCCGGAAATTCCGATTCACACCAAAAAGAAGGCGGAGCTTGTCGTAAGTTGTGGTGAAGCGAAGATTGTACGTATGCTGAATCAAGGTATGCATGGCACCGATGTATATCTATGTCGAATGGGAGATCCTTTTGCTAGGCCTCGAGACCTGGATTGCAATGGGTGCTGAGGTGAGAGAAAAATTTTGGCATCAAAGAAAAAGAATTCTTAAAAATCTCGTTCAGAAAATCATCGTTCCTGTTCAATCAGCATCAACCACCGCCTATGCTATTTTGAAGCAATATGAGAAACAGGGTAAGTGCCGTTCAAAATTAAACTTTAAAGTTCTATCAAAATACAAGAAATATTACAGGCATCGTCGAAATTCGAGATTGGCCAAAATGGCCCGTGCTCTCCGATGTGAACCCGAATGGTTTGTAATATGTTTCGGGTTCTACCGTATCTTAGGGCTTGTGCTGTCGCGTGGCATCGAAGAATCGCATGTTAACTGCCTGTTCTATGTTAAACCGTTCGCTGATATGGCTGTATTCACCGGTTAGCTTTTCATCTAATTCTAAACAATTTTTTATGTAGATATTGACGATTTTTACCTTCCACCGGATCCATCGAAGGTGGTACCCGGCGGGACTCCAGCTGCGTTCAGGGTTTAATTTTTGTTTTTCCACAATTTTGTGAATTAGGAACTTTTCTACGAACACCCTCAAGCTGGCAGTTTATTGTTCGAGCACAGAGATGTTCAGCTTCGACTCCCAGAAGGTAAGCGTGAGAACCGCAAATTGCTGACTTCATTTCAGAAGCCGCCAAATCACTAGACACTTTCAATTTTGATTTCCTAAAGAGTACGAACTACAAGCAGAATTGCGCTGTAAGTTTTCCTAGCAATATATTGATACATGGGTTTATAGGTATGGCGCATGAAGACACGTGTGTTGGTTAATGCCAGTAAGTTTTTAATACTGCAACCAGAATACAGCAACAACAACCGGGTATGAACTATTTTAAGGTCGCGTTGACAGCGTGAACATGCACGAAACGGGTATCCATCGATTTGGCTACGTTCAGGTGCGAGTTCCATGTAGAAGAGGTAGCTTTTAATAAGCAATTAGGTATTGGTAAAAATTATAGGGCATTTTTATCATATGCGCCACAGTCATCGAGCAGTCCCTAACGCGGCTGCAATCGAGATGGAACCACTGATGAATATTTTGGATGGGTAATCGTTTTAGAAAATAGCTCAAAATGTTGATGTTATAACTTAATTTATCTTAGTTTGACATAACATCGATGGTAAGCAGCGAGAATTGTAATCTTCTAGCGCCTGGAAGACGAGGCTTTCTACCACTTTGAGTGAGATTGCTAGCGCCCCGCTGAGCTCGTCCTCGACAAAATCGTTCGAAGATTTTGACAAATGCATGGGTAACTCAGTGGCATTAACTATGTTTTTATGAAATTTTAGGAGCCATTAACGAAGAGCATTGGACGATGAGTGTATCGCGTTGTCTTACACCTCACGTTTGCTACAGTAGAGTCAAGCGGTATCCTTTTTCTTCCTTTAAATTTAATACTTAAATTTCAGGGATGTCAAATGCGTTGCAGCAAACACCAACTATTCCTTCCATTTTTCGGCCAGTTCTGCTTCTTATATCATTACCTCCAGCGTAAGATCCCTCACCAAATTTTAGCGTGAACATTTAGAACCATACAATCAGTGAAGCCGAATCGAACTGTGAAGCTCCTCAACCAACATTCACCAGTGGCAATCACTATTATATTCCGTAATTGACCGACGGACGGGTCCCGGATTTGATCTCTCGAACTGCAATAAATATAGTTTGGTTGGGCTACAGTTGCTTCAAAAAAGGCTACAAAATACAGGCTTGTCATGGCCAATTTGCTCTTCGAAAATGCAGGGTGTACCCCGGAGTGGGAAGTGAGAATATATTTGTTGACGATGAGCAATGGGAGGGTTTTGTATTGTTGGATTGGTAGAGCGGGGTGGCCGAAATGCATCGAGTGTCCATGGCCACAATCCAGCCCCGCAGCGGGTTCTGGCCCTTGACATGACTGACCCATTTCATCCAATGCGCCCAGAACGTACCAATCCATCCACAGGTTATGAACGCCGTTTTTCTATTTCGAGTCTCTGCTTTTTCAAATAATTTCTAAAATCTAAATAACCTTTTGAGTGGTTTTAGATGCTCGTACAATTCATTACGATTTTGTTTTGTATAAAGACAGCTTCAGCTCAATGGGGCTTTGGAGCGAATCCATTGGGTGGGTTTTTTAACGTTACCGGCTCTTTTAAAGGAATCAGTTTGTTGTTCGACATTGTTAACACCCCTAAATGAATCAGAAATGGCTTAAAATATCGAGTTTTTTATGCGTGCGGAATACCTTAGGGTGAGAATTAAGTATTATGCTAAAGAAAATTGCTTTAACCTTGGCTTGCAGAATACATGATGAGCCCTTACGGTCTTTCCGGTTATAATCCCTACCAACAGATGATGATGGGGTCGATGATGAATCCCTATGCGTCTATGATGACCCCGGAAACTGGGGCGTACGGTATGTTTTTCTGCAGCCTTGGGTTTGTATTTTTGCTTCTTGGAACCCTCGTCAGCGGTAATAAATAACAATTATCCCGTAGTAATAATAAATCCCATCTTGGATTCAGATATGAATTACATGCAGAACTACGGGCTGATGGGCGGCTATGGCATGTACGGTGGAATGGGTCAAATGGGTCAAATGGGTCAAATGGGACAAATGGGACAAATGGGTCAGATGGGTCAGATGGGACAAATGGCTCAAATGGCTCAAATGAATCCGATGGCCGTCGGCGGAGCGATGGGCGCTGCTGGCCAAGGCGGTGGATGTGGAGGTGGATGTGGTGATTTATTTCCAAAAACCATAATCCCTCCTCTTTAGCCGGTAATAGCAACCAAAATGGAAACACTAATGACAATTCGAATACGTTAAATCAAGGCAACTCTTACTCGTACCGGACAATGTATGGAAAACGGAGAAATTGTACGTTAATCTCGTTTCACTTATCTTCGATTTACAGCCCAATCCAACTACGGGACCGGCGGATGGAATCGGGAGAAGTTATAAACGACTATTTTTGTGTGAATAAAATTTCGAGTTTTTATCTTTCTGTCTTTATGTCTTTACAACACATAGCTAATCGCACGCTATTTTCAGGGTGGTCTCTTTCAGGTCCTTTTTCAAGCCACCCAGCATTGTGCAGCAAAAATGCATAAGGAGTAACCATTTTCAACAAAACAATCTGTATATCAAAAATAGCCTTTTTTCGAAATCGGCTTTTCTTTTACAAACTGTTTTCAAAAAATGGTCAGCGGTGATCTCGAGGCTGCTTAGGACCTTACAAAATACCCTTAAAAGATTTATGATAGCACATACACATGCCCGATATGAGTTACATGGAAGTTGATTTACATGGAGTTACAGGACATGGAAGTTACAGGACATGGAAGTTGATTTACATCTTTACCGAAGTACACAAAATTTTTTTGTCATTTCTAGTAAGGTAGCATGGAATTTGCTGGGAACATTTAACTTTTGCAGCTTGCCAAAAAGCGTCTACTCATCGCTCAATTTCCTAACCCTTAAGCTATACGAGAACAGCTGATCAACCGAGAGAACACAGAGACGCTAGAGTAAAGCTGGAAAGGTTAGGAAGGGGACAACAGAGAAGAGACATGTGGCCAATCGGGGGGAAAAGCTATGCCGACCCAAGGCGCCTTCTGCTATCTGTGAGGACCGAAGGGAGGAAGGCTGTGTACACACTATCCCCCTTCTTTTCGATGGGGGCCTTTCCTCCTTCACTCTGCGTCCCTTTATTTCTTCAAGGACTGTCTCTATCTATGGATCTCTCTCTCTGTCTCTCTCTGTGTCTCTCTCTCTATCCTTTCCACACCAGCTTCCCCTAAGACAAAGTATCAAAAAATCAGCCGTGCCCCGTTAACACCACCCCCTTTCCCCCAATCTCCCACCTGATTGCCAGCCATTGTGAACACGCTTTCGAGTGTTTCAGTTCGGCTTAATCGTTGTTTGTTGTTCTAGTGCCTTAATTTTACGTTACCTTTGTATACATATTACTACTGATTACTACTCGATGGTATTCTATTTCTATAGCAGATCTACACTGTTTTTAGAAAAACCTTGTAGTTATTCTGGCCGCCCGTCTCTCCTATCCAATTGATACAAATTATTGCTCCATGCTGAGAAACTAGCTCCTTTCTGATTTCTGATTTTTTTAAGCGTCTCAACGTTTTATTTTAGTATGCACAAAAATAATTGTTAAACTTTCTAGCATCAACTCTTCCTGCCATAACCAAATAATGCGCCGGTAAAACAAGCATATGGGTAATTATAAATCTCGACCACCAACCACATGTGCCGGTGAGTAAGAACGTTGCAAATGGCAAAAGACCGCGGATTCATTCCTGAAAATTCATTTTTTACATTTAGATGAACTGAAAAAAAAAATCAGTGAGGGATATGCGGTGATGCGTAGTCGTTTGGCTGACGACGTCAAGCAACGCCAGAATTTGTCGGAACCCTGGAAAATTGCGTAGTAAGTCTTAAACTGATTACTTTTGAAAGTCTGAACATTTAAAAAACAGTAATTATGTTACGTTTCAGTGATGGCGCCCTTGATTCATTTATATCACTTGCCACCGCTGATTTTCTGGACAATCAATCGCCATACGGGCTAACGCTATTCCATACAGTATGTGCCGGGGTTGGAGAACAGGTTGGCTTTCCTTAAAAGTAATTCGGCTGTATTTTTCAGCAAATCGATAAACTGAACCATTTGGCGCAATTGGTAAAGGCGATGGAAGAGGATAAGAAAAAGGACATACTATCCCGACTATCCCATAACGGCTTCTCTGCCCTCCATATCGCCATTTTCAAGGTGTGGTGCCATAACCATCTTCCAAATAAATTCTTTCAGCATTCAATTCAATTTGTCAGCATTTTACTAGAAGCTGGCACTGATCCCTCACTGGCTGGAAAGCACAGGTATTGTTTTACTTAAATAAATCTATATCATAATTTTTACAGACTTCCACCCCTCCACCTGGCGGCTATGTGCGGTAATGCGTCCATCTGCAAGCTTCTCCTCGACAACGGAGCAAAAATCGAAGAAACTGATTTCGTCAAATTTACAGCACTCCATTGTGCCACGCATTTTGCCCATGACGCGGTATTCTGGTTCCATAAATTAATACCGAAATTCATTCTAGGTTGTCAAGCTATTCTTGAACACACAGGTCAACTCCAACCTATGCGGCGGGGTCAAGGAGCGGTAAGTCAATAATGTTTCCTAAAGGGAATTGTAATTGTAGCCCGCTCCATCTAGCTGCCAGTCGAGGCCTGACAACGATGGTCAATTTGCTGTTGGAAAATAAGGCTGACGGTTTGGTTGCTTAATTAACGAAAAATGTGGCTTTTTTTCAGCTTCGTTGGCAGATGAAGAAGGCAATTCGGCATTACATTTTGCAGCGAAAGGTGGGCATGTAAATGTGATTGATGTTCTTCTCTCGACGAGCAGTCAACCATACCAGGTGAGGGTTAATACAGATCACTATCATTAATTATTCAGATGATTTCCTGTCGTAATGTCTACGGGGATTCGAGTTTGCACCTTGCGTGTTATTCGGGCCGCCTGGATGCAGCGAAGCGGTTACTATTGGCAGGAGGGAGTCAATTATTGACAATGGTAGGGGCTTCTTGGGTGTATGTAGAGTACCTCTTTAGGAAAATGTCTTCTCGGAGACTCCACTACACTCCGCTTGTACGGGTGGACGGTCCCTTGAATTGGTCGCATTTCTGCTCAAGCAACCCGGAGTCGAACCGAATTTTCAGGGGCAAGATGGGCACACAGGTACTTGGAGATTAATGATTGTAATTCCTTCCTCAGCATTACATTCCGCCTGCTACCATGGACACCTGAGGCTAGTCCAGTTTTTGCTCGAAAATGGTGCCGATCAAAGTCTGACCGCTCGGGCTGTCGATTCACCACTGAAATGTGGCGATTCTGATGGTAAATATGATATTATTTTTCTAAAAACTGATTTCCGACCGGACTCCATAAATTGTTGATAAACGTCCTTTAATAAAGCTCCAACTTTCAGGAACAGCCACACCTACAACTTCCAGCTCTTCTGGCTTGGTCACTTCAGCTGTCCTAAGCCTTACTCGAGCAGATACACCATCAAATCTGTCCAGCATGAATTCAACGATATCTATGGATGATCAACAGACACCGGTAACCCTTAAAATTCACTCGAAAAACCAAAGTTTTTAGATTATCTGGGCCTATGAACGAGGTCACGACCGAATTGTGGCTCTTTTAAAACACTATGCTAGCCGAAGAGCTGAAGGAGACGTTTGCAGCGAATATAGGTTGGTAAAAGGACATACATATCAAACATAAAAATGACATATAAACATGATTAGATCCCGCCTTTTACAGCTCCGGGGATTCCTCGTACACGCCGTTGCCATCACCTTGGGGAAGACTCAAATCTCTAACCAAAGAAAAAGCGGAAATTTTGCAGCTACGCTCATTACTAAATCCTCGATTTCATTTATCGATGGCGGATATAGATCTACAGGTGAAATAAAAATGAAAATTAGTTAAAGAAATTTTTCAGGAAGCGATAGGCAGCGGCTCGTTTGGTAAAGTGTATAAAGGCACTCATCATGGCAGAATTGTAGCTATTAAAAGGTTGGAGAACAACCATTGCATGATTTTTAACCCATATATTTAGATATCGCGCCGTTTGTTACGGCAGTAAATCTCAAGTGGAGATGTTGTGTCGTGAGGTATCAATCATGAGCCGGGTTCGCCATCCCAATGTGATTGAATTTATTGGGGCTGCCCTAGATGACCCTTGTGTAAGTTCGGTTTTTATTCTCAAAATATTCAATTTCAGCAATTCGCGATAATCACCGAATTTGTTGAGAGCGGTTCGTTGTTTTCGATCTTACATGAGCAAAAACGGTAAGGAAACGTACAGTCAAATTTCTATTTTTACATTTAGAGTTTTGGAGCCGCAGTTCCGACTTCGAATTGGTTGGGACGTCGCTCAGGGAATGCGTTATTTGCATGAAAATGTAACAATTTTGACCCTGATTAATAATATCGGAATTATAGGTAGGAAAACCGGTGATCCATCGCGATTTGAACAGCCACAATATTCTAATTCACGCTGATGGGCGAGCCGGTGCGCTTCGAGGATCTCAAGCTATTATTTTATCGTTTTAGTTGTGGCCGATTTTGGAGAAAGTCGTTATGGGGATGGTGATGACGAGAATATGACAAAACAGCCGGGGGTTAGTCATGAAAAGCAAAAAAATCATTATATGCCTGTTATAGAATTTGAGATGGATGGCCCCAGAGGTTTTCTCACAGGCCGGAAGATACGATCGAAAAGTAAGGGAGCAGTACATTAAATCCTACTATATATAAAAAAATAGTGTCTGTGTGTGTGTCTGTGTGTGCCCCTTTGCATCCACTTCCGGATGTCTGTCCGGAGGATATCTCGATAGGAAGGAATTTTAAGGTATGTATGATACGTCATTAGATGCGTAATGGCCTGGAGATGACTGCACGCATATCAGGTTTAACAAATTCACCTATTTTCGGCATTAAATTTAAGTTTTTGTAAAAACCTCTTTGTTAGGAACAATTAGCGTAGACCGGAAGTGGGGATTCGACTATATAAAGGGGCTCAACAGGTAGTTTTTCATTTTTTGTCATCTGAATTCAGGAAAATTATGCAAAGTGAAGGATAAAACGGGGTCAGACGGGGCCAGGGTTGAAAAGTCGCGAAGCGGCTTTTCAACCCTGGTATTGAGTAATTTCTTCAGGCCGATGTATTCTCATATGGGTTGTGTCTCTGGGAGTTACACTCAGCAGAATTGCCATTTTCGCACTTGAAACCTGCGGCTGCTGCGGCTGAAATGACCTACAAAAGAGGTAATTAATTCGGTCATTCCATTTTGGTTTCCAGGTCGTCCATCGTTGCCAATAACGCCCTCAAACCAGTTCCCAGAGCATATCATCAAGGTGGTAGCATTTTTGTCAAAACACTTAAAATCCTAGATCGTTGCTGAGGCCTGGCATCCCGACCCTAACAACCGTCCCGAGTTTTCGCAAATTATTGATATTCTAGAGCCGCATGTTGATCTCTCGATTATGGTAATTTTGAAATAATTTGCCGAGCAAACTTCATTATAGGCTTGCGAGGTTTCCTCCGAACCCCAGCCCACCGTATCCCAACTGAGAACCCAATGGGAGACACTGAATGTAAAGAAAAGTAAACCGGGTATGGTATTACCTTTTAAAAAGCATTTCCCTTGAAGGCCCAAATACAACTGGTGCCGCTCAAATGTCCGGCTGGAGCCAAATTTCGTCGGGTACCGTAGAGCAGCTACGACAGCGGATAGATAAAAATGGCTACGTCGGATTTGTAAGAATCTTCATTTTGTTGCTTAACAAATTTTAGGTCGAAAAAGACGATGGGTTGCTGAAGCCCTAGTGGCTAGAATCTACTCTAGTAAATTATGATTCTGATGATGTTTCCCATTTCTTTCAGGTGCTATGCTATTCCTTGACAACATTTGTGTTGCCACGGGTCAGATTATATAGTTATGTTGTTTATAGGATCGTTAGTGATGAATAAATATATAGTTGAAGTCGAGAATTTATTCCAAAACTGCTATGTGGAGGCCAGAGTCCCATGCAAAAGCAGCCCGAACGACAGATCGTAGGAATTCATTGAGGTGGAAGTGCGAAAATTTGTGATTTACGGCACAGCATTAAAGGAAAAGTAGTGATGTCTGTCCGTTCGTCGTGTCCCGAATTCAACTCGAAGGGGAAAGGAGCTAGAGCTTAGGTCTTTTCGGATGCGTATAGAGCGCGGTCAGAAACCCCAAAACTGCCAAAAATATAAAAAAGTTTTCGTTTAAATTATTAAATTTAACTTGTGGTGCAGAGGTTCGAAAATTTTCACCTCAGCCATTTCATCTCCTTTTCCCCAGGTAACCACCGATCGGTCGTTGTTTTCGTTTTTGAGGGGTTTCGGCTATGGGGGTATCTGAAGCGATCAGAAAGGTATCTAAGTAGTTTTTAAGGAGATTTCGGCTATGATAGGCTAGGTATTTAGCTTAGGTATTCATGTAAGTTGGGAAGGACGTTGTGGTGTAGGGAGTGAAGGGTAGCCCGAAGGCCAGAATATTAACTTTTTTCTATCGCTCGTATTAACAATGGTGAAATGTAGTCTTTCGACATCGCGATGGCAAATGTATGGTTTACCAATTCCAGGACATGGCTGCGGGATGAATGACTCAAATGTTTTTCTCGGGCCCCCGATGTGACCGAAGATAACGTGAATACGATGAAGCGGACAGCCAACCAGACAGTCTTTTCCTACCCCCTCCTCCCCGCTTGTTCATCAATATTCCATTGGTATTTGTGGGGGCACGCCCTGGGGGTCCCGTAATTTGCCATAGCCTATGACATCGATTCGATTGGCGTATTATTGCGACGACGAGCCAAGCTGGCTGGTCACCGAGACCAATATGCGGTTCCGATGCCAGGTATTTTTTCACGCCTATGGCTTTTATACGGAAAAATGGCCACTGAAAATGCTTTGACGGCATTTTCGGGTCGTCAAAGAATCGAAAAATTTGGGAGATATCGTATGTTTTTTAGAAGCACACATTTTACCATTGGGTTGCAAACTTCAATAACCGTGATGTTTTTTGGCTTGGCCTGATCCTCGGTGTGTTATCTGCAATAATCTATCAACTCTACAGGTGCCGGCGCCTACTTCTCCTCATGTAATTTTTTGCTATTTTTTACAATTCTTATTTAATACTATAAATATACTATTTTTATTATTTATTTAGTTGGCTACAAGCGGTGGAAGAGGCTGAAGCAGATGCTGACGGATTAATGACCGGGCTTAGCGATCCGTTTGAGATGATGCGAAGGAATATGGAGGACGAAAGGATTTTGGATTCTGATGATGAGCAAGGCTGATTGATTCTTGTGATAAGTTTTGGTGCTCTTACTTATGACGGTTGTTAATAAAGTGATCTTACATTTTTAAGGATGGGTTTTTGGAAATAACCGTAAATACTCTTTCATTTATTCCACTTAAATTAAATTACAGCGAGAAATGTTCTCTGGCTTTTCGAATCCAAGCTGTTTCCATATGGCTTGGTGTGGTAGTATTAATAGGAACCCATTCCATCCCCAAAGCGGTCGTTGGACTGATACGTCGCGAGCTAAAATTTCGTTTTCAAGAACCTGCAAGGCTAATAAGGCAAGCTATTTTAAATTTTTCACTTACCGTAATGACAAAGCCCAAACATCATGTTCAGTCCAAGCATGATCCGTGTCAATCGTTGATGGGGCTATTCCATTTTGGATCATATTTGGGCCTGTATCGCTAGGAGTAGATAGTCCATTGTCAAACCGCCTTGTGGATAGCATCTGAAAACGTGGTCTTTTTGAATATTCTCGATATTACCTGAGCATCGGAATCATTAATTCCGACTTGAATCAATATGGAGGTCAGCTTCTCGTCCCGAATTCCGGTCTCAAATCGCCATTCGTGTGGGAGTTTTCCGTTTTGGAGAAGCACCTAGATTATTAACACTAGAATTGCACCCCATATAACCAACCTGCGCTTCCCCTTTAGCTCCGCGAAAAACGACATAGTAAACAAGAGGATTTGGTCCGAATCGAACATGCTGTCCCCTGCCAGAGATACCGGTTCTGCCGGCTGGATTCAATGGGAAGCCGAGGGCTGTAATCAAATAATCTTATTCGAAAAAGAGATAAGTTACATGATAGCCTAATCTTTGGGTCGTTGAGCTGCTTCGACCTCCAGACACGTCGAAGCTCGGTGGTGTACTAGAAAGAAAAGTAACAATGTCTTGCAAAGCACAAAGCTCTAACCTGTCGCGTTGTCACCTCTACCCATTTCTGCAGATCAAATATGAATTCCTCGGCCGGCTTATTGTAAAATGGCGGTGAATACGAAGGGAATAGGATGTCCCTAAAACAATCCTCAAAAACCTCAGATGTATACCAGTTCTTCAAACTCTCGGGGAGCACCAGACGGTAAATGGCACTACCCTCATATGCTGTTTTTCGAATCTAAAATATTTTTTGGCAAATTTTACAAGCTTCTACCGCTTGGACAATGGCGCTCTCCCTTTCGTAGTCAGCACTGAGGTTAATTTTGCGTAGTTGAGCCCGAATCCGCCGCAATTCGCTCAGATCCTCTTTCTATTAAGAAAATTAGTCCCTAAAATTATACTCTACCCGTTCACCATCGTTATTCTTTGCCTTGTGATTGGCTCTCCATTTGCTAATTGCTGTTTCGCGCCAAAATGCATTTAGGAATTCAAAACGCCTAAAATGATAGGGTATGTTATAATTTTTTGCCGATCAAACATACTTGAATGGAACTGAAGGGTTACGGTACATGCTGTACTTTTTGCTGGCTGGCCCGTCCATCTAAATAGAGATTATGGTGGTATCCTTACATATATAAATTTTTATTACCTTGACCATATCGGGATGGTCCGCTGCTTTGGCCGATGTACATCTTCGCAAGCAGCCAGAAGCACTAAAATTCTCGTGGGAAAATAAGTAGGATCTTAGAATACCTTCCAAAAATCAGCAAAAATGGCGTGAATGGCGGTGGTAGGCATGGTCGGAGGCTAAGCAAAATTTATATCAATATAGCGGGAACCTCCTTACCCAAATTCGGTGACCAGTGCATACATTTGGTGCTTCCAGATCCTATCCGCTTCTTCATCCACACTTTTTGCGGTCTTGGCAAAGAAGGCAAAGAGGATCGGCCAGAGAATTAGTTTAAGGATAATGAAGTATCTATGAAAAGTTTATTGCTTTTTAACTTGCATTTTTAACCTACTCGATGATAGCAACGTATGCAGCTGTGCCCTGTCTAGGGCATGTGGCATCACGATGCATACCAACAGCATTACAAAATGTTTGAGGAGGACCCAAAAACACTTTCTTACACCTCTCAGATTCTGTAAATTCATTTATTCTTAATACCATAAAAGGTTACCTTGAAGCGCACTCATATCCGTTGTGAAAATGGACAGCCAAGCCCAATTCAAACTCTTCAAAAGAGGTCCCATGGATAGGGGAAGATCTGGATATAAAAGGGAATGGACAGCAACGGCGGAACTAAATTTTGATTAACTTCTGTAGTAAATTTTTAATACCTGAGCATTACTAATGCTACCAATACCAAGAAGTGCGTAAAATCTCGGAGTAACATTAGTTTTACTCGAACAACCATCGGGCCAAAAAGCTGCAGAGTCGTAAAAATCCATATGAACCTCTAAGACCCACCTCAGAAAGTGGTATATACGTAAATAAGGTAGAGTAGCAAAAATACAGTAGATAGAATGCCGAGATGACCCGTGATGGATAAACGGAAAACGTCTAAAAATAATAATTTCTAACTAGATAACTTCCATACCACGCCCAGCGCTGATAAATTTTCGCCAAAAAGTTTAAGCATAAAGACACCAACGAGGTAGAAGATGACAACAATTATATCGAATATCTTAACAAGTGCTTGTATTATGGTAGATTAACATACCCGCCACGGCATTTCCGTGAATGGCACCGAGCTGGTCCGTTTCCAAAGAACGTAAGCCTAAAATCGACATAAGAATCTTGAGCTCGAGCTTTAAGCGGACCTGTTCAATAGTTGAGATCAATGTCCAAACCCATACAACCATATCCAAAATATTAGAGCCACAGCCAGGAAGAAGAATCTAATAGGATGATTGCGAAAAAAATACGAAAACAAACCGAATAGGAAAACACCGAAATATGAATCAATCGGAATACCAGCGAAACCCAGAATTTCACGATCGGGGTACGGTAGAAAGAATTGAGAGTTGGTGTCCTCCATCTATATTTGGGTTCAGTATTTGAGATAATTTTTTTTACCGTCTTTTTCTAAAACTATCCCGATGCTTTTTCTGGGGTCGAGGCGGTGGGCCTGTATCCATTTCTTCGATAGAAAATGGTAAGATCTGGGTCTGAACTTCAAGGATCTTTAATGATACACTTACCATGCTTTGCGGTGTTGTCGAATCACCTCCATTTGGCATGGCATACAATAAAGGTTGATTATGATGGATGTTCATTGATGTGATCGTACTCAAAGCATCACTTCTGGTCGATATAATGCTAAGAGATCTAATTTAACAAATTTATTGTATAAATACCTATGTGCCGATAATGCCCTGGTTTTCTTTGGTTGTCGCATAACATCAAGGAGGGCCACTAAATATTTGGTTTGACTAACAAATTGTAAGACCGCTTTAAGTCTGGGTTTTCGCGTGCCTTTAAAGTATCAAACTTACCAGTTGGTGACATCATATTCCGCTTTTCCTTCTGTTGAATACTAGATGATGGTCGAAGCGCAACCCAAAAGCGCAGTGGAAAAATGAAAAACGCTAGAATGAGAAATTCGTACTGTAGATCTTTCTCTAGACATACCAGCAAAAACGAGCTTAATCCATTTCGGTAAAAATGAAGGAAAAGCCCCGGATCGCACTTGCAAATTAGCATACAACAGCCGATAGACCCATCGTTGGCAACTTTCATGGGCCAAGAAGTCACGGTTATCCGCCTAAATTGATTGTTGTTTTAGTGATCACTTCCTAACCTTATATGCAATCTCGGTCAACGGCACGTTACCAAACGCTTCGATGGGTTCGCATAAAACTTGATATGATCGAGTTGGGGACCTGACGTTGACGCATTTTTTTGAAATGGGAATCTTCGTACTTTAAGTGTACGCTGTGGAGTAGATCTTCAGCATTCTTTGAGAGATCGGCGGACAGTTCTCGTAGGGAATCGGCGTAGAAGAACCAATCGTATGCCTGAATGTCCCATAGTTTTGGAAAAAATTCTTCATCACCTCATTCGATAAACTACGTGCCATCCGACTCAAAACGAGCGACGTGGCAAGCGGCTGTTCCGTATGCGCAATAAAGCATTTTACCTACAATTTTAATAATTTTCATGTTGAATTTTAAAGCGCACCTGCTGGGGACGATTTAGAAGCAAACACCAAATCGCCAAAATTTGAACGGCTGGTAGGCCAGTAAGGGGTGGATGCAAGCCATGTGGGAATAGATTTCGGGTTCCATGTGAGAAACGTATCTTAAAACAAACTTAAAACTTAAGGTACTATACCAGTAAATTATCCAGTGCCCGGCAAAACCTCTGATCCATATCGGTCAAATTTGATGAGTGACCAAGGCATTGGCACAGAACTATAGTATTAAAAAAATGCTGAAATGATGTTTACTAGAAAAGTTTTCAAGAAACCTGATCTCCAGAATTTAAAATTTTTAGGAGTAGATCTTCTGTCAAAGTGATCACTTCCGGTCTGGATAGCAGACAAGCCAAAAAGTCAAGTCGGTCAGCCCTCGATACTGAGGAAACCAGCAAATTGCTCATCGACTAAACATTAGCTCGATTTAGCTAGATACTTGAAATTACCTCTTCATCAATTGCCCCTGGTTCTACTGTATCTAAAACTGAAGGCAAATCCAGGCAAGCAGCAATTTGAAGCGTGCGTTTTATATCCTGTAAAAAAACGCGATAATTGATAGCATGAAGTGAAACTTACATTTGGATCTGAAAACGTTGTGGCGCAAGCTTCAACTATTCGATTTGATAAAGAATCCAACTATAATTAAGAATTTTTAAACTTTGTTTTTGACTCACTTCGTCGCCTGAGATAAATTCTATCAGTTCGGTGTCCGAAAATGCGGCCGAAAAAATTTTTGCAATTTTTTGAGGTACAGAAGTGTCTCCTAGAATTGAAATTTTGCTTGAAGCAAACTTGGGAACCAGGGAATTTCCTCTCGAGCCATGAAATGAATTTCTGATGGTTGAACTCGGCGCTTTTGTAAAGTAGGTAAGCATTGTATAGCGTGTCACAAAGCTCGCAGCTGTCCTAAACAATTTTTGATGCTTATGCAACTTGGTTACCTGTAAGACAATGACCGGGAGACCGTGTTCGATGTAAACAAATAATTCTTCCAGGGAATTGGCGCTTTGAGCGGCAAAGAAAATGACGGGCAGTGGCCGAGAATCCACACCCGGCGATAATAAAATGGGAGATGTGGCTGAAGGCATTTGATTCGGGTTCCCATCGGTCGGGACACCAATTAGGAGGGCTAGAAATTGAATAACATTTTAGGATAGGTTTTTGCTACCTGGCGGGGGTTGTGACAATCTGACTGCAAAATTAGCGCGATATTTTGCAAGCTCGATTTCCTAAAGTGTCAAAAAATTTTTTTATGAAAAGTATAATTTACGTCTTCCAAGTCCTTGCAAAGGACGAGGAGAGTGTTGACACCCACGTCAACCATGGTGGCTGGGTTCTAGAAAATATTCGGGGTTTTTTTCAATTCAAATATCCGTTACCTCCATCGGACCGCGTTGTATCGATTCGTCAAAAATTATTGAATAAGCGTTCACACCGACGTGGAGAACTTCGCAGTCATTTTCGATCTATTTAGATCGTTAAAGTATACAGCTAAGGCTAATTACCCACCTGAGGCAATACGTGTCGAATTGCTTGACTAGCAATTGTAGCTAGAGGATCATCTGCCCGACCGGAAGATAGAAGCCACAATGGAGCACGACCCACGATTTTTGAGAGCGCATTTCCCAGATTCTTTGTTAACTTAAATGGAAATTTAGAGTAATTTTGTTGTCAAAGACGGTCCCAGTCGTTTGACAGTGAAATATTTCTTACCGAGCCACTCCAAGAATTTCCTTCTGAAACAAGAACTAGCAGCAACGATGCAATGCCCTCATCCAATTCTGTAGCAGCTGCTGCCAGACGGCTGTAAATTACCATATATAACGACCAGTTTGAAAGGGGCCACAGATACCGTGCTTGAATTTCAACCCACCTGTAAACGTTTTTAACAGCAACCGGGATTGCATGAGGTGATTGAAGGGCCAATGCTGGGCATAGTTGAACCTTAATTTTGCATTTAACTTTTTATTGCGCTATTTATTTGCATTTCCGCCCTCCCCCTTGCCTCTCATGCTCACCTTCAATGTCTCCGATTGAACACAGATCGGCGCCATTTCAAAAGAGACCGAAGTCGGGTCGGCTCGGGGCCGAGATTCTTCCATGTCTTCCATACGCTTCAGAAGTTTTGGATGTGTTATTTTTGAACCATAACTGGGTGCTAAAATTCAAATGTCAAGCCGGGTGGTGAGTAGCTATTAAAAGTAGATGAAAGAAAACGGGTACCCCCATTGACACGGTCATTTTTCTTCGACTTCCGGTACCAATATGCTACATTTTTTGCGCTGCTCAAAAAAGCTTAACCGGAAGCGAAGCGGGTCGCCAACGAGCCGCGAAAACATCAATTAAGCGTGAGAGAGTCTAAATCGGCAGCAAGGGGGGGGGGGGGGGGGGCAGTAAAAGGAAATTGATAGCTAGGGACTGGGATCGTGATCCAATCGCTGCCAAAAGAGAATGAGAAGAAATGATCAGGGCTGAAGAAGGAGAGAGAGAAAGAGAGCGAGGAAGATTGAGTCGATGCCACCGACCCTAGAAACAGGTCCCGATCCTTCGCCCAATCTATCTATTGGGTTGGGATGGCAGTATGTTGCCCCAGGGCAAATTGTCATTGGGTGCGTTGACCCGTCTAAACAGTAACGGCTGTTCGCGCTAAAAATGGCTAGCACAAAATTTGGGTGTTGGTTTTGGTCAGTATTGATTTTAAGGGTGTTGGAAGGATTCAATTAACAGAACTCCAGAGGGCTTACAGGATATCCCGAAAATCCACCCTTTTAAGCCGATGGAGAACGAGGATTAGGATGATAGTTATGACATTTTAAAGTTTCTAGAAATGTCACATCTGCAAGAGCATTTTAATTCATGCATTTATTGAAACGCCCCAATTCAGGGTCATGTAAAACATGTCTTCCGGTTACTTGTACGCTTGCAATATATGCTCCTGTTTCGACTTGAGCTGATAAGCAGCTGCTTTATTCGCAATATATTAAGGCACAAATTTGGCGGATATTCGTGTAATGTACAGACAACGGTGAGCCGTCGTTGGCTCGTCAATACTGCGCGGTCGGAGTTGGAGTTTACTCGTCCTTCTCCTCCTTCTCGGCCTGCTTGGCGTGCTCTAGAAAAAAGAATGACTTTGGTTTAAGGTACCATGGTGTAGTGTATTAAAAAACTGACTCCTGCGGACACAGGCACCCTGAACCGGGGCATAGGCGGGCGCGCAAGCGCAGACGCCAGCCGGGGAGCACATGGCGCCCGGGACGCAGGCCGGTGGTGGGGGAGCGGCAGCAAGAACCGGAGCTGGCGGGGCACAGGCCGCACCCACGGGGATCATCTATAGAATGCAAATATACACGCGCAACAGTCCTTCTTACGGCAACTGGGGCTGGCATTGGGACCGGGACGACCGGGGGTGGGACAACGCCGTAGACGGTGCGGGCGACGCACACGGTTCCTTCCTGCAACATTGTGGGTGTTTATGGATTTATGCGCTGATTTAAATTACATCATCCAACTTATCAGGTTTCTTTTGGTGATAATGTTTGGGATATTACATTCTATGAAACTTGAAATTTTAGCCAGTCAAGACATTGTTTTTCTCCCCGCCTGAGACACATTTTTGAACACTGCCCACGACCGTTGCTCTACACCAAAACCGGCCCGGAAATGTTGCGACCTGATGGGCAGAGATGAGAACCGACCTGGACAAGCTCTGGGGGGCACACGCACACTCCAAGTGAGCACACCGATCCTCCGGTGCACTCGACGCCCGGCTCGCATGGGGCACCAGGAAGGGCCTGCAAATTTGCTTTGATCATTGCTCTCCGCGTGTTGCTGATAGTGGCTTTTTTAAAGTAAATATTTGTATATCGGGAGGCGTTGTTTAGCGTACGTTGAGACGTTACTATGTTTACACCTATTTACACATATCGAGTAGGGAAACTCTTTTCGGAAAGCTTCGAGTGGGCGCCTATCTTTTATTTTTTTAATAACTTATTGTATTTCGGACATACCTGAGGGATGAGACGGCCAGCAACAACTGGGACTGGGGCGATCGGGACTGGGGCTGGGGCGCATCCAACAACCGGCGAGTAGACGACCGGGGCCGCGCACTGGCAAGCGCCAGAGACGCAACTGAAATATGTTTAATATTTTTTTAAGTGTTCTGATTAATATATGCTATATATATGCTAATTTGCAACTTACGCTCCTCCTCCAATGCATCCAGGGGCGCAAGCTGGGGGCGGGACTGGCATCGGGGGCTGAGCAGCAACAACCGGGACCGGTGGCGGCGCGGGAACTGGTGCGTACGCGACTGGGGCCTTAAATTTGATTATGTTAATGTAATCTATATATGGAGTCAAACGCAGAACGTGCTAATTTACATACTTTAGTTGTCGTTTGATGTATCTACTTTTTTCAGAGGCTAGCCAGATAGCGAGTTTTTCGCGCTCCCCGATTCTGGTGTCGTTTACAAAAACTAATCAGAAATATTTAACGAAATTAATTTAATTATCTAATTTAAATATTATAGTGAATATAGTAGTCTGATCGTGGAATTAATGTTTTTTATATCCATTTAACGCCTCAAATACACTAGCTTACCGGGGCAGCGTAGACCGGGGCTGGGGCCGGATAAGCTGGGGCATAGACCGGGGCCTGCAAAAAGCGATTCTGAAGAATGGCTTTAATGAAAGTTTAGCAGAAAGATTTTGTCGTCGATCAAAGCTTATAATTTTATAAAATAAACGTACTGGTGGTGGTGGGACTGGGGCAGCAGCCACTGGGATGCACACGGATGCCTGGCAGGCCAGACCTCCGGCACAGGGTACAGCTGGGCTGCACGCGCTATACAGGGGTGCTGGAAAATAAAAGTTATGATTAAACAAATTTGGTTAGATGCTCTAAGGGAGTCGGGGTAATAATTTTGAGGATAGTAGGCTTGGTTGGCTCCAAAAAGTGGATATAAGTGTTTCAGGACCGGCTCAATACCCAAAAGCAAAACTTCAAAGCCGAACATATACTTTAACAAGCCGGAGTAATAGCTGCGAAAAAGCAAAATTGCTGAATATAGCTTGTAGGTTGATTTAAACGATCCGCGTCGATTTCGAGCTTCAAAAATCGGCGTAACGAACCTGGCGCAAACTGTGCGAATGTGACTGCGAAACACGAGGAGAAAATGACGGCTCCGATCATGGCGTCCGTGGGGGGTTGCTGTATGGAGGAGTGGGGCTTGTGGCACACTGGATTGGGCACCCTGGGCACCTTTTATCGCGGCTGGGACCCGATGGGTGGGGTGGGCGGAACGAGGTCCGGACGCGGTGCGCGCACCCCCGCTACGCTTCTCCGCCCCTTCGACTAACAATCCTTTTTCGGCGGGGGATTCTGAACTTTGAACCGACCTGGGGGCTTGGTTAAAGGGGTTAGGGAGTTAAAATTCACGGGTCAGAAAACTAGGGGAATATTGTCTAAGTAACAATAAATGTACTTCAGCATGAGAAACCGCCAAATCTGGTCGTCGTCCAACCGCCAAGTCGTCCATGCAAAAATTTCGATTGAAAGTCAAAAATTTCAAAGAGACTGGGTGCTATGACCAAAGGTCAACTCTTCCTCTCACTGCCTTTGGTCCGTGGACCTCGTGATCAAAAAATAAAAAATTTGTGGATTGTCAGTCGAGTCGAGTATTCCGCGTGAGCTCTTCCAAGGGTCCCAGGCGTCTTCTGGACCTTCTAGGCCGTCACTTTCAAATCCTGGCATCAGCAGCTGGGTCTCCAGAGGTTTCGACATCTCGAATTCACGGAGTTTTCGGTACATCGCTTTTCTATAATACGTATATTTTCGGTTCGAGTTTTTCACTGGACCACCAGCGGTTTCTAAAACATGGCAATGTCAGATTTCCAACGATGCACCTCGAAAAACCTGCGATCCAATAGTGCACCCAATAGCTCCCGCAGTGTTTTTTTACCAGCGATGATTCACCTAGGTTGTATTCATGGGTAATACGTTTGTTAATCTATGTGCCCAGGAAACTGGAAGAGGAACGTGATGGAACATGGATGGGCAAACATCGGGGTACAGGGCGCGAAGAGGCCGAAAATTCTAGTTTTACGAACCAATGATGGGGCAAAACTATTGACTTATGCTATTGATAACAACCAATTATGGTGCTGGGAGAGGAATTAGTACAATCTGTAAAGTATGACTGACGGCTCGTTTTTTGGTTACATGTTCTTACAGTTGATATATGGTAGCGTTACAGTAATATTCTTCTACCGTAGCCGGAACCAACTTTAAAAATGTATAGTAACTATATGTGTCATGCATTCATGATTTTTTGGGCAGATATGATAAAATAAAATAAAATAAGCCATATATACGTTATCCCATGGATTTCGTCGTGCTCTACACTTTATTCCAGATATTTTCAAAAGATTACAGGCTTTTTGCTTACCTGTACCTACCCATATATAACATGAATACATAGGTGTTGCATGCTGCTGCCAATCAATGAAATCTGTGTTTTTTTAGAAAATTAGTAATTTTCATAGAAGCCTCGATAACGCTACACGATTATTCTGCGCTTAATTTCACATATTTTCCAACCAAAATCGTATCCATAAAAAATTTTGCAGTTCTGGGAACGCCATGGTTCCCATCGATGCCAATCGGAGCAGACTTTCGGGGATGGCCCACCCATGACGAAGGAAGAGAGAGACCCTTGGTCTCTTCAGGCGCCCAACTCTCCACCTTCAGGCAAACATCTCATGGGCACGATATGGGATCATGGTTGCTGGACCACCACCACCACCCTCCTATCGTCGTCTTCCAAATTTTTTGCAGGTCTGCGCGGCGCTTTTGTCGCGCGGGCAATGGAGACTCTCCCCTGAGACACGCGCTGAGAATTTCCACGAAGTCTCGGCGGCCCGGGTCCCCCGTCACACCCATCCATTCCTTCAGCACAACCCAACCAGTCCTTATGTTTTGTCGACCAACACCTGGGGTGCCACCCAGGACCCACACCGTCTCATTTTCAGGGCTCTTTTTGACAAGTGGGGGCACCGCGCCGGGAATTTTGTTTGCATGAGGCGTACCGGGGCACAACGGACCCGCTCACCTAATGTCTAGTGTACATAATTGAGCGCTTTTTTTGACTAACATTGGTTTAGAGGGGGTTGGCGGGGGTTAGGGGGCAAAGGTGGGGTGTGCTTGACGAATCTGGTCGGATCAAAGGCCCAACTGATCCATGCACTTGTGCTAATCAGATGAACATCACGAGACGGCACCACAGATTAAGCACAAATTTGCTGGGCTAATGGCAAAAACTCTGGAAAGTTGAGGCTGGAATGAGGGACAAATATTTTTATTCTCAAGAGACAACAAAATGTCGATCTGTCTGTCGATCAGCTACCAGTTTTAAAGTAATACCAGGGTTGAAAAACAGCTTCGCGGCATTTCAACCCTGGCCCCGCCTAACGCACATCATAGTAAAAAATGCGCATATTTCTTCCCGAACCGATCGCAAAAAATGAGAAAAAGCCCCCTGCTGCCCCCTTATATAGGCTTTCCCCACTTCCGGCGCAGGCAAATTGCCTCCTAACAAAGAGATTTTTGGATATCTTTACAAAGAACTCAATTTTAATAGCGAAAACAGTAATTTTTCAAAACTTTGATATGGGTGCACTCATCTCGGCATCATTACGCACCTAATGACGTATCATACGTACCCGATAAATTTTCCCCTGAGGCTGTAGGTCGGAGACAACCTGACGGAAGTTGCATGCAAATGCACACACACAGACACTATTTTTTTATATATAGTAGGATTGGAGCTTTTATGTTAAGCTAGCCTCTAAAGGGTTGAAACCCGGAACTGTTTTTAAACAGAGCATCACATATTTTGTCGATTTTCGTTCCCTTTGATAAAATCCAAATGCTAAGCAACTTTTCCGCGAAGACGATCCGCGTTTATCGTTTTTAAAGATGGGAGGCTATAAAAACTCTGTCGAAACAATTATCTCACATCGCAAGCATTTGTGATCATCTAAAAACGGCTCCTCGCAAGTCATCAACTTTATCGACTGCTAAAAAGACTAAAAATTTGGAAAAAGTGCGACTGTTAGTAAAAAAATTTTGACATTTGAAAAATTCAAATTTTTTAGAGTTGGCAACAACAGAAATCTACTTAAATGGCCTGCACTTAATTATTGGAACTATACAAGGCTTAGGTTTCCCCCCGCACCTGCTAATCGTCCAGGAGCAAAAAAATAAGCAATTCCAGACCAAAATCCCAAAAAGGCCGGCGCGTGCAGGCTCGCTCTTTATGTGCAAAATGCGGTTTTGGGTACAGTCGGCCAGTATCGGAATTAGGGCGAGACCTGGGGCGGGCTAGCCGGGAGTGACCGAGTTCCGCTTACGACATGAAAGTGGGCCAGCAGCTAAAGGAGCGAGAGAAGGAAGGGAGGAGAAGGGAGGAGAATGAGGAGGATTTGGGGGTCGAGGTCAGTCCAGCAGCTAAGGGCACACGTCGTCGATTGATCGGCAACAACTGCGTGCCCCCAGGGCACAATTGGACCCCATTGGTGCCCAGATAGTTTACTTCCAGCCGCCATTCTTCGATTCTCGAGATATTTTAGTGGGATTTACTTAAACGTCGGTATTTTGCGTTGAAGTGTACGCTTGTTACCATAAATATGTGTATGTAGTACACTAGCGTTGTTTCCTTTTAAGATTCAAATCGAGAGGAAATACACTTTATGCTAAAATTCAGATATCTGCAGGTCTCCCCAAACTTTGTAGCGTCAATTTACTACGTCAAATATTGAAATTATTCTTCCCTAGAAGACTCAGACGCAGCCCAGGCTCAATATTCTAATGATATTAAAGCGCTTTTAAACATATATTTTTTTGCATCATGAGCCTATTACGAAAGCCGAGTACAGCACAGTAGAACGGGTTCCGCGCTCCCGCGCCTCTCCCGTCTCTCGCCTTCCTTTTTTTTGCATCACCGTCTTCCTTCGATCCGAGCTGCTTCTCCCCATTCTCCTCTCATGTCCGCACAGTCTCCTTATAGAGGCTTGTGGCGCCACGTTTAGCAGTTTTGCTTTTTGAGAGAGTTTATAGTGATGTAATTGCTCTTGGTTATAAAGATTCTTGATCAAGCCTGGCTACGCAGGACAAATATCATTTATTTTTTTGACCGTAATATTTTTACCCTATTGTGAATTTCAAGCGCAAACGTAAAGGCTCAAAAATTCGCGCGTTATTTAAAAATTAATTTTTTTTAATCCTAAAGATTAGCAGAGAATCTTCATGACCTTTCAAGAGCATTCGCGTAAAATAAAATCCTAATATCTTTCAAGTTCTACAAGCTCATATCAACTAAACAATAAATTCATTATTAGGATGCAGTCCTCTGGGTGGTTGCTGATATTAGTATCCATTCTATCCCTGGTGGCTGCCGATTTATTCACGTCGATTGCCGACCTTCAAGGACTCTTAGAAACAGAAAAGAATGTCCCTGAAGCCCTCTTCAAATACATCAAACAGGAAGAAGAGCGCCTGGAGCACCTTAGAGAGTTGGCTACCAGGACTGGATTTCATCTCCAAATTTAGGTTAATGAAAGACTATGTATCGCGGAATAATGAGAATATGGTGAGCGGGACGGCTGACTTGGCCAACCCGATCAATGCTTTCTTACTGATTAAAAAGAAGATTTTTGATTGGAAGGTGGGTTTGGAGGTCTTTTTCGATCCAAGATTGGTTTGTAGAAAATCGAGAACGAAATGGTGAACAATGGTGCGGAAGAATTCATTCAATCGGTTTCGGACGCCAGCTATGGAATCCGATACCCCACAACTGTAAGGTCGAACGCGTTTTTTCCAAAATTAAGTTTAGGAAGACTACACCGGGGCAGCCATTGGACTGCTTCGTCTCCAGGACACTTATAGACTTGATACTCGACAGTTGGCTGATGGAAAGATTCAGACCCTACAAGGAAATCATTCTCTTACTGGTATGTTATGCAATCCAGGAGTTGAATTGGCAAAAATGAGTGACAGAGTCCTTACAAAGTCCATTCGTCTTTCAGCTTTTGACTGCTTTGAAATTGCTCGTGCTGCCTACAACGTCGAAGATTTCTATCATGTCATTCTATGGATGGAGGAGGCACATCGCCGCAATCAGGTCAGAAATGTCCTTTATTTAACACCGACGAGGTTTAGCTGGAAAACCCGCCAACTGCTGACGAGGCAGATATCCTCGAGTATCTGTCATTCGCCATGTACAAGCAGGGAAATCTGAAACATGCCCTAAAGCTGGTCGAGGATTTGCACAAGAAACGTAAATTCTGCATGAAAATTACCAATAATAGTTGATTATTTCAGAGCCAAATCACCCTCGTGCCAAGGGAAATATCAAGTGGTATGAGGATCTGCTTGCGGAGGAAGGTGTGAGGAGGAGCGACATGAGGAAGGTAGCAAATTTTACATTCTAACAATTTTTTTTGTAAAATCTTGAAACCTCTAAATTGGCGATTCAGAACCTTGGAACCCCCGTGAATCGACGACCATCTGATGGCATGGGAACTACCGAACGTAATATGTACGAGGCATTGTGTCGCAAGGAAATCCCAGTCGTAAGTCCTATATTAATGTCTTTTTATAAACTTTTTAGAGCCCTAAGGAAGTGTCAAAGCTTTACTGCTATTACAAGATGGATCGCCCATTCCTGCGGCTAGCACCATTCAAGGTAAGGTAAAGGTACAGATTATTGAATTAGGGATTAGCAACCAAACAGTTGGATAGATTTGGATTTGTATATCGTTCTAATTAGGTTGAAATTGTTCGCTTCAACCCGTTGGCTGTCGTGTTCCGTGGTGTATTGCTTGATGAAGAAATCGCAGCAATCCAATCGTACGCTCGACCCAAGGTACAGATTTAGCGGTTTCAAAAAATATAATTATTTTTAGCTAGCCCGTGCTACCGTCCAGAACTCCGTCACTGGCCAACTGGAAACCGCCAGCTACCGTATCTCAAAGAGGTAATTTTTTGTTATATTAATTCATTTTGTATTTGCTTTCCAGTGCCTGGCTGCGAGGTGAGGAATATCCAATCGTCGAGCGGGTCAACAACCGCTTGGAGCTGATGACCAATTTGGACATGGATACTGCTGAAGAACTACAGGTAACATCAAATCCCAGCATCTAGGTTATTTAAAAAAAACCTGCATATACAAATAATTACTTATTTTAGATCGCCAACTACGGAATTGGAGGTCATTACGATCCTCATTTCGATCACGCCAGGAAGGAGGAAAAGAAAGCCTTTGAAAGCCTCGGCACTGGAAACCGTATCGCTACCGTACTCTTTTATGTAAGTAATTCATTCACTTACTTTTATTCAATTTATTTAGATGTCCCAACCGTCGCTAGGTGGTGCTACAGTGTTTACTGAAGTGAAATCTACCATGTTCCCTTCAAAAGTAAAATTAAACTTAATTAACGCAATAAAAAAAAATGTTTTTTAGAATGATGCCCTATTCTGGTATAACCTTCATAGAAACGGTGAAGGAGATGATCGTACCCGTCACGCAGCTTGCCCTGTACTCGTTGGAGTCAAGGTATGGCCAGACGCAAAAACAAATAAATATAATTTTAGTGGGTCTCCAACAAATGGATTCATGAAGCTGCCCAAGAATTCCGTCGCCCTTGCGGACTTCGTTTAAGTGAAGCTGAAAGGTAAGTTTTAAGGCAACATTTCATAATTATAATCTTTTTGCAGGTATGTCGGAGATCTTGGAGGACCGGAACCTCGCTTCGTACCGAACATCAAATCCACCCCCTGGACCTACAAGCCAAAGAAGACCAGAAAATAATATTTATTAAGAATTGTTGTTAATTGTTATGCCCTCCCCACACTCTCGAAAATCCCTTGCCAATAATTTGTGATCGTCCCTGGGTGCTACTCTTTGCCGAATTGTTCCACAAACCATGCTTGCCTTTGTCAAATTTTCGGGTGATTTTTTGTCTTCTTTGAATAAAAGTTATTAAAATTTATTTTCTTTATTAATACCATCGAGAATCTCTACCGAGTTCAAACCTAATAAAAACCGATGACACAATAATGCATTACCTCAAAATTTACTAAAAATTATGCATGTTTAAACTGTGTCTTCTCTTATATAAGTCATAAAATTAATGAAATCTCCCATCTGCTTTCTAGAGCCGCTCTCATTTCCTGTGAATTGTGTGACAAGACTCGGGACAGGCATTATACGGGCGGTCTTCCCCCATTCTCTTTTTGTCGATAGGAGCGCCCCGTCGTTGCGCTAATCCAAAAAGGGGATTCTGATGTAAATATGGACCCCCGAATCCCCCCAATTAATCCCCACAAATCTCCACAAAATCCCTTCCTTCTTTCTCTTCTTGTTACTACATGGATTGGCAAAAAAATCGGATGGGGCTTTGAGCCGGTTACCGCCATCTATCGATCCCCAACTTGAGATTTTTCATCAGCTGTCTGGCGAAATTTTGTTTAAATGTTTTCTACGAAAACTGCGGGACTTCTTAAGTTAGAAAAATGGATGAGTTGTTATTCTCATAAAGTACCTGTTGCCTCAAGTTCAAGAACCACCCAATTGGTTCCCATTCGTGTGGTCGTTCCATCCTTGCAGCCTATAATTTTCAAATGTAAATCGAAGCTCGACAGAACTTGCTTGATCTTTCAGGCCTTATCTGGTGTCATTAGTGCGTAATTAATTACGTGACCTTATAAGTGTTGCTAGAGCCTTATCATTCCCCACATACAAAATAATTTGAGGCTGAATCCAGTTTTTCGTAACGTCACCTGATCCACATAAATTCAAAAATAAAATCTCCATTCTTTTTTTAGGTTCGGTTCCTTGTCCAAAAAGAAAATACTACGAATTTTCAGCAGCGATGCTCTCGCTTGAATCGCCGCGTCTACTCCGGCGATGTCTGCCAAACAGCCGGTAAATAAAATCCAAAGAAAAATATTCAAAGATCAATAATTTCAGACAAGGCTGCAACCAGCTCCAATCCATACTGAGCAAAAAGTGTCAGGATACCAGGACACAATGTACAGTTGCAGGTTCGTAGTTTTAGCTAACAATTGTTGGTATTATACAAAAAAAAAACACAAAGAAAAACACATTTTTTTAGCTATGCCCACCTCCCCGAAGCGAACTTCGGTAACGGCTTTTCGCATCGGAACTAAGGAAAATGTACAATTCATGATGAAACTGTCGGATTCGCATGCTTTGCTTTGTAAGGCTAAGATACATTCCTAATTCGGTTTTCAGACATCCAAAAGCGTGGCTTTCGGACCCGTAAGGTTTCCGGGATTGTTGGTTCGTCACGAGCAGAAGAAGGAGAGGTAATAATAGAAACTCGCCGATCTAAACAAAACTAATTTCCAGAAAGGCTGGACCTCAACCACATTCTCAAAATTGATGGGGGTTGTCAAGAAGGAGCCACAGGTTGTTGAAACCTTCCGAACTTAAATTATTTGAAAAATACTATTTAGACGGCTCAATACAAAGAGAAATTATCTGCATATGAAACGGAAATCAAGAAACTTCAGCCAGATCATCAAAAAACATTCATGGTAGGTTCATTTTTGGATAATTTGAGTGCTGAATTTAGGATGGCTATGTGAAAAGCCTTCTACTCAATTCGAAGAAAGATGGCGAGAATTCACCTCCAAGGGGCTTTTCAAAGTGGCTATTCGGATCGTATACGTCATTGTGCACAATTTTATGCTCGCTATGGATTGCCTACAATCTGTATGCCTACTTCTTCGGTAAGTTATCGACTACTGGGTGTCCCAAAAAAGCACCCCCCTCTAGCGGTCCGTGGTAAGCTCAGATCAGGATGATTTTTTTACCATTCGAAAGCCCGCGAAAAGGCGAGAAAACAAGCGGGCTACATTTTCTAAGATTTCTTCTGATTAGTCCGATATTCAGCGTTTTTCTAAAAAAACAGGTATCTTATCAATAGGAATTTTGCAATAGCATGCGGATCTCGCGTAAATCTGCCGTTTTCATGGAATTTGGAGGTAAAATTCGCCAATAAAAATACATAATAAAGAAAATGAACCCTCCATGTTTTCTCGCCTTTTCGAGAGCTTGCGCGCCGCTAGAGGGGGTGCTTTTTTGGGATACCCTGTAGTATCTGACCATATAACTTCGTTTTCAGGTGAGGGAAAGGGATCGTCACCGCTCTCTGTTCTGTTCCAGTCGAGTCCCCAAGAACTGAAGCCGGAGGAGATTCAAGTGACTTTTGAAGATGTGAAAGGGGTACGTTGGCCAAAAAAAGCAGGAAGGTTATTTTTGTAGATGGACGAAGCAAAGGCTGAAGTCGAGGAGATCGTGTCCTACCTTAAGGACCCTGACCGTTATTCTAGACTTGGAGGTCGGCTACCAAAGGTAAATCAACGATTGTTTTTTATTATTTTGCAGGGTGTCCTGCTTGTTGGACCACCTGGAACCGGAAAAACCCTGCTAGCCCGCGCCATCGCAGGAGAAGCCCATGTAAGTCACATCACATTGTGTTAAATCACCTGCCTAGGTGCCCTTCTTCCACACCTCCGGGTCAGAATTCGACGAAGTACTGGTCGGCCAGGGCGCAAGGAGGATTCGAGAGCTTTTCGAGAAAGCTAAGGTAAGTAAATCCATATACTTAGCACACGGACCACGTTTTTTTCCAGGAGCGAGCTCCGTGCATCATTTTCATTGATGAAATAGATTCGGTCGGATCAAAGCGTGTCTCAAACTCTCTACACCCTTATGCAAATCAGACAATCAATCAGCTGCTCAGGTAAAATTATTACGATATAATAAAATATACATGCGTTTAGTGAAATGGATGGCTTTGTTCAAACCGCGGGAATTATTGTTATAGCTGCAACAAACAGAGTTGAAGATTTGGACAAGGTAGTTATAATATTAATTCCAGATTTTCGGTTTTCAGGCTCTTCTACGTCCTGGCCGCTTTGACGTGCGAGTTACTGTCTCAAAGCCTGACCTTCAAGGCCGCAAAGATATATTTAATCATTATTTGGCAAAAATCGTCCATGCCGAGAATATTGAGATTCAGCCGTTAGCTAAGGTGAAGAATTGATTTTGACTGTAGCAATGCTATCCAGGGTACTACTGGATTCACCGGGGCTGATATTGAAAATATGGTGAATCAAGCGGCACTGAAAGCAGCAACTGAAGGATGTCAGGAGGTGACGATGCATCATTTGGATGAGGCTAGAGATCGGTGAGTGTAAAAACATGAATAAAAATAAGCATGATTGGTCCCATTTAACACAAAGAAATTTTAGCGTTCTGATGGGCCCTGCTCGCTTGGCCGGCCGGATCCCAGACGAGGAAGCGAACAAGAGTACCGCTTACCATGAGGCTGGACATACACTTGTTGGTATGATGACCCAAGACTCCACTCCTTTACATAAGGTTTGTTTTCAACTAATTTATCTAGATTTGCTTAGGTGACAATTATTCCAAGAGGTTCTTCGATGGGTCACACAGCCCTCTTGCCGGATAAAGATTCTTATCAAATGACGAAGGTTTGTTCCTGGTCTTTTTTAAATAATCACCGATTTTAGGCTCAAATGTATGCACAGCTTGATATTATGATGGGTGGGCGTGTGGCTGAGGAGCTGATTTTTGGAATGGACAAGGTATGGAAACATTAGCGTCGGATATCATGGACTTTAGGTAACTACTGGAGCTTCTGATGACCTACGAAAAGCATCGATGCTTGCCACGCAAATGGTCAAGCAGTTTGGGTTCTCGGATCGGGTAAGTGGACAAAAAACAACACGTAGTATATCATAACTTCAGGTTGGACTCCGCGACTTTTCGATCGACGATGGTGGTGGACTGGTGAAGGTCAACGACCTGAGCCCACAGACCTCAGAAGCCATCGACCAAGAGATAAACCGGATATTGCAGGAGAGCTACAACCGAGCAAAGGATATTCTCACAAAGCATAAGGTTAGTGGTTGACACAGCTCATTTCAGCTAAAACGTATGTCTAGATTGTCAGCTCCTTTAAACCCATTTCTTTAGCGTGAACATACAGCCTTAGCCGAGGCACTACTCGAGTATGAAACGCTGTCAGCTGAAGAGGTGAGAATTTGTATCCTTTACCAACTTTAATCTGAATAGGTCCGTGATATTGTGGCCGGCAAAAAGCTGAAACGCCCTTCTCCGGCTGTTGTAAAACGTAGCAACGAGACACGAAAAGCCCTGAAGCATACCCCGCTTGTGCAAATTCATAATATGGGAGCCGAGAAAGACAAATAAAAAGGTATTAGTAATTTAATAAATTCTATAAAATTCTTAGGGTCTCCTTATACTGGTCAACACTACAACTAATTTCCAAGCATCTCGGTTTAGTCGTTTCTAGCTGGTAGTTATGCTTCATCTCTTCCTTGACTTCCCCCACCTATGTATTATCATTAAGCAGGCTGTGCTCTCCCCCCGGTTTTATGCATAGTTTGGTGTTGTGTTAATTCTTTCATTAGACCGTTTGTTGTACACTGTGATAATTTGGAAACTTTCTATCCTTTAGCTCTTGTTTGGCCGCTTGAGATGTATCACATTCAGAAAATAATAAATTTTTACTAAAATTTTTAATAAAGATTGCATGATAAGGCACACTCAGCATAACATTGTATCATTATTTACAAAATTATGGAAAAGTAGGAATGTGAAGTAGTGAAGCAATGGACGGCAAGAAAATATTAATAAAAATATAACCGAAATAATTTGAGAAGCATCTCTAGAGTTTTTCAGAGTATACCCCATTGGTTGGAGCAGATGGCGGCGGTGGTGGTGGTCCCATGTTGAAATTGTTAAAGTACAAGTAGCTCGGGGCAAAAGCCTAAACATATATAGAGGACGAAATTAAAGCAACCTCATCCTCCTTAGTGGGTGCTGATGCTCCAAAAACGCTTTGCTCATAAGAGGGAGGAGCCGTATTGGACGCAGCTGTAATTTGTTTAGGGCCGATGTCCCTGAAGTTACCATAATCCGGTGGTGGAGCATTTGGTATGTTTGCTGGCAGTGGAAGTGGAGGGGCTGATGCGTATTCAGGAGGAGCAGATGGAACTGAAGAATTCAAGATTAAAAATAGCCTGATCTTATGTAAGTTCTAAACTTTAAAATATAATAGACCTACTTGCTCCACCGGCGATAGGTGGCTGTGGTTGGGGCATAGAAGGATATACTGGAGCCTGAGGTTGAGGCTGATCGAGCACTGGATAAGCTGGCCCTTTTCCACCTGGAAAACAGATTTCATAGAACTTTATTTAATGCTTTATTTGAAACCATTTTTATTCTGTCAAATTCTATACTTACTTCCAGCTGGTAATGCAGGTTGCATTACATACGGATTTGCATAGCTTATCGTCTGCATCGGAACATTCCCGATAACAATTGGGAATTTTGAGATGACTGATGAGTTAAAGGTAGCGGCGGAACTGACTGTCACCTATAAATACGTAGGAAAATCGCTATGCTTTCAAACGGACCTTCAGGTTATAATACACTTGAATAATGGCACATTGGAAAGAAGTAGCAACAGCCGGAATTCTTAAGTTAACTGTCTGCTCGGCTGTAGAGTGCTTCGGAATTTTGAGTGGCTAAATTTTTAAATTATCCGTCCGGCGCTTCAACTTACAATCCTCATTCTTGCCACCTGGCGCTTATGATGACGACGTTGATTTCCACCATGAGTATGCACAAACGCTGATTCGATTGGAAAATCTCCTCCACACCTCAACGCAATAAAATCCGAATGCTCATTCATAACCACGTCAACCTTAAAGCAAAAGCTCCGAAGAAATCTCTCCACTTACCGCTTCCATGTCTTTAGAGCTAGAATTTTCGACACGTAGTGTAATTGGAATTGATTCTCCAGGTACAAATCCGCTTTTGGGGATCGATACTTTGACAGAAACATGGCCTTTTCGGAAGAGGGGAAGTCCCGTTTTTATGCATTGACTATTTGAAAGAGGGGTCCGTAGTGATGGCGTTAGGTTCAGGTCGGAAATTGTGACGACGGTGAATGGCTAAAGAATTATTGTCAAAATCTACGGCATAATACGAACCATCGACGTCTTGTGGTTGAATTTCCACGGTCTATCCACTTCAGCTCGGATCTCATATCGAATATGGCCATAACACCCTTCGTAAGATGGCAAGCAACGAACTGGCAGTTGGAAACTACCGGAAATTGAAAGAAAAATACTGGAAAACATACGCAAATGGATATCGATGCTCTCCGGCAGGGATCTTTTGTTTCGTGCCGTTACCCCAGGCTTTCGATTGGCCGTTGAAAATTCTAAAATAATAAATTTTCATTTGACTGTTTTTTTAAAATTACCCAATGCTGGCATTATAGCTTTCGGTCGTCGTATGAGAGCTGGTGGTACCATCAGAGTTTGTACTAAAATTTCTTGAAAAATTTCCTGAGTGTAATTACGTCGTATGCGTATGGGAGACAGTCCAATGATTTTTCGCATGGCCAGTCACTTTAATTGAGATGTCACGGGCTGAGGTTTCTTCTGATAACTAAAAAAAGTATCAGAAAGTTAAGGAGCAATGCAAGCTTAATAAATGTTATTCGAAATTTACCTGCAATATGACAACTCCCTCGACAACTTGTCCAGGGAAGAAAACCCGGCTATTACTGTTGAAGACGACGAAGAATTTCATCAAGCTGGAAGGGCAGCAACCCATTAAGCAATGCAAATTGGGAAAGCATTGAATAACCAAGAGTTTGCGGGGATATTGGAACGTTGCTATGGAGGTTACTAATTTTGCAAAAAAGTCGCGGTTCTGCGTCAGAGTAGCCGGAAGGGGGTAAATATAGGTGCGGTGAATAATCCAGATACAACAGGGCAATTTTTGATTATCAGTCTTGACGAAATAGCAAAGCGGGAAAGAAAGCAATTTCCTTGCAAAAAGAGGGACGCAATTTGTCCAATTTTAGATAAGATAAGATTACACTAGTCATATAAATTTGAAATTTTTTTACGAAATCTTTACCTAATTTTATAATTTTTGGGGTAAAGTAAAGTGGTAAAGCCACGTGAAACGTTACGTATATTGAAAAAGCGCGCTTTTAGGAAAAGCTTGGGGATCGATGGGCAGTTGGGGGCTGAATCGAGGCCATTTTGGCGGCTCTTTACAAACAATACCCTGAACCGGGAAGGCGATAAAATTTGATCGGATGAGTCATCACTACACGCCCCAAACTAACCACACTAGAGCATATTTTCGTGATCAATGGTTTGCATTTCGCCGTTGGAAAAAGATAACAGCCCCTAGGTCTTTGGAAGCTTCTACCGGTAGAACTTCTATAAGCTGGTTGCGAGGTGCTGTCCGGGGTTCTCAGCCCTGTTTGCGCAAAAGTCGGCGATCTTGGGCTTAGCAAATATGTTGGAGGTCAAGCAAGGATATTGCGAAATGTACAACATGCTGAGTAAACCTGTGAAACAAATTTAGTGGTAACCAAATGAAAGATAGCAGCGAGTGAGCCGGATTATTTGACGATTCGTGCTGATCAGTTCCAAGTACAATTAAAAGGACCTGTGAAAGAAAAATATCCTTTAACGGGCTCTAGATGACTAACAAGATCTTCTGAGAAAATCTTTCACCTCGCTCACTGCCGCCTGTCTTTCCGCTTTTTAAGGCGACCCTTATCTATCGAAACGTCGCCCCGGCCACTTCCCATGGTTTTGAAAGTCGGTCTAAGATCGCCGGGACCTGACGCGTCGTGATTCAATGTGTCATCCCGAGGGCCAATAGTTCGTCTAAAGGTGCCAGGGAGTAGGCGTAGTGATACAAAATTTTGATAGCCGAGCGGAAAACCGGTTGGTGACGACAATATGGACTGTAGCTTTGGTCTGTGTCGAAACTTGCTAATTGTAGGAAATGAAAATCGGTCATAAACAATCTACAATAGATTGATTAAGACTATTCCCAAATTTTTAATCCCAAGTTTTCCATTATTCTTCCCTAGTTCGAGCTTTTAGGTGATCTCCCCCTGCAAACAGCAGCCATTTCCAACTAATGCACCCTGTTCATATCATATGAGGGCCTGTTTAAAGCCAAAGGCTCCCTTTTGATGATTGTTTACATTCCGATTCCTGTTCCATAATGGCTTTTTGCATCTTGCATCTTTCACCGTTTAGCACACATTTATTAGCCCTCACCCAGCGGCACTTTCTAGAAAAGTTCGCTAGTACTTGAAGATAGGTGGGAAGGCAAGCAATGGCAGCGATATTAAGGTGTAATGGGGTGTCATTAAGTACTGGATTTTATCGTCTTGCTGTGGCGCGGTGGGATAACCTTTTTTAGAAGATGCACAACGAACAGCGTTCCCTAGTCGCGGGTCTCATCAGTGTCGCTAGGCTTTCCTCTTTTTCTCACTGCCTTTCGTCTCTTTCTCTTTTCTGGGGCCCACGAACCCAGGATGATCTTCAGCTACTTCATAACAAAAGAAGCAGTATTGGTGTTGATTTTGCTTCCTGCCACTTTTTATGCAAGCTTAATCGAGGAAAAGATGAGATTGGCTGAAAACGCAAAGAGAATTGCGTTTTATTTCCGTATTTTCGTGTATGGTCTTTCAGATTCAATTTGTTCAACTTTTCTTACACTGCGGGATAGTAGGGGTGTACTGGTGCGCATTGCTAAAACGGATTTTTTGATTACATTTATCCAAGAATTTTGTTGAAATTATCTAATATAAAATTGTAAGGTGTACCTGATGGGCTCCGTTTGGCGTAGAGACGCCGATGTTTGGTGGGTATCCGAGTTGAGGGCCATATCCCGTTCCTGTGGGTTGACATCAACGTTATAAAGTTTAGGGCTCTAATTCCTCAAAGTTTACAACCGGTAGACAATAAACAAAAAGACAGAAGCCTATCTTTGTGTGCTAGCCATTTGTATAAGTTATCTCCTAAAGACCTGGCACTTCAAAGTGATCCATCGGTGGAGCCGAAGGCGCATTTACTGAGGAAAATTTTCTTAAACCGATTTCCAAAATTTACCGGGCTGTGGCGAAAATTCATGATTTTCTCTGAAGAAATGTGCTGGCTGAGGATTCAAAGCGACTTGGATTGGATTGTTGATATAAGCAGCCGGTACAATGTTATCTCTAAAGTTTACCTCATATGAAATCTACAAAAACAACCAGGGTTGAAAAACCGCTTCGCGGCTTTTCAACCCTGGCCCCCTCTAGGATCGATGAAGTTATTGACTTTGCATAATCCTTGCCGAAAACCGCTCACCAAAAAATGAAAAGCGCGCCCTCTCTTCCTTTTTATAAACCCTTTCCACTTCCGGCGTATGCTAATTGCTTCCTAACAAAGAGGTTGGCAGAAAACTTTGCAGAAACCTAATTTTAATATCGAAAATAGCAATTTTTCAAAACTTTTATGTGTGTGCAGTCGATTCCAGCCCCTTCTTTACCCTATGACGTTTCTTCTCTACCGAAAAAATGCTTCTCTGAGGCTGTAGGTGCGGAACATCCAAACGGAAGTGCATGCAAATATACACACACACACAAACACTATTTTTTTATATTCTACAAAAGCAATAAGTATTCTTATCAGCATTAGCAAAAACACACCTTAACGGTATCGTTCCAATCACAACCGGCATCTCCAGCGCAATTACGGAGTTAAACACTGTTCCGCCAGTAACAACATCCACCTTAAAAATATGACTTCTGATATAATAAATATTTGAGATTCTATATAGACGGGGAGAGTTTTGCGACGACTACCTTCAACATGTAGTAAACTCGTATCAAAGCGCATTGAAATGTCGCGGCAACCGAAGGTATTTTAAACGTAAGTTCAAAGCTCCCTTCCTTTCGAGACGCTAGAGAATGCTTCTAAAATAGAGGTCTTCCAGTGCTTTAATAAAACCTACAAACTCTTGCGATGCCACCTCTCTGCAATACTCTTTCAAAGAATGGCCTGAAACCCCAACAGGGAAAATGGCAGTCGCTGGGAATATGTTGCCTTGACCGGTGTATCCGATAAATTCCGAATATTCAAGGAGTGTTAATTTGATCTGGCTTCAAAATGCAATCACCTTTAGTCATAATTTTACCGAAATCATCTCCTTCGTACTTTCGTTGTTGATATTTAGACGAATTGGTATTGTATCTCCAGAAATGAAGCCCTTCTTTGTCATATGCGCCTGGAAATAAGCTATTTGGATTTCTGACGCAGAAAATGATGGGAAGCTGGCTGAAACCGACCTCAACTTTGATATTACCCCTTCGAAACAATGGTATGCCAGTATTTTCGTTAACAACTTTATACGCCGGTTGATTCAGATCAGGAAGAGAGTTCAAGTCACAGAAGGTGACCACGGTAAATGGCTAAAAACACGATTTAAAAAAAGTTTTTTATGATTCCAATACCAGAACTTGTAGATAGGAAAAGCGCCAGTGTCGTTCCACTTCGGCCTCTACCGTGTATCGAATATTTCCATGATTTCCCTCATATGAGGGCAGACACGTAAAAGGCAACTGCATTCTAGACTAAATCAAAACTTTTCCGATATTGGCCTACTGAAAGCGGAAAACATGTGTTCCAACTGGGATCTCATCTGATCGTCCATTTTTCCAGAGCATGATTTCTTCATCGACAATTTCAATCTCACCCTCATAGGTTTCTTTCTCCAGGTATTTTCTAAATTCTCCGGTATTATTTTTTCGCTAATTACTCTCTAAAAAAGTAAAAAATATAGCGGACACCGAGAACAATTCAAACGTTTTTGAAAATGAAAAAAGACCCGTTGACTATTTCGCGCTGCCATTCCGTTTCGGCAGAGCCGAACAACCTGATGGTTGCTTGAGGTGATTTGCAAGGTTTCGTGAGCTAATCATGGTTTTTGTTAGTTAAACCAAAGTACCGTTAAAACCATCGTGCCTGACACCCATTCCCCAGGTCGGTATATTAACGATGGGTTGTCCATTTTCAGTTGAATGGGACCGTAATTCCACATCCTAAAACCACAAAAATTTAGGAATCAGAATTTCAAAAAAATGAAAAAAAGTGTTTCTGACTTTTTATAGATAAGAATCGATTCCTCCAGCAAAAAGTGAAATAATTTGTTGGAAGGAAAAGCAATTCACACAAAATCGAGAGCGGCATAGATGGATGTTGATTGTTGATTAACATGTTTGGGTCCTTCCTTGTCTGACTGGCTCCCCGTTTTCGTCCTTTCAACAAAGTATCACCTCCCATCATCAACTAGAAAATTTTCTTTGTCAGTGTTGTTCTCTCTTATTTTAGCCGGTTTCAATACATTTATTGGTCCACAAATTCGGGTAAGGTTGTCGAAAATCTCTTGGAGCAAAATCGTCGTTCAATTGTGTACTTGAGGGGTGAAAGGCAAGGAGGAGAAGCGAGTTTGAAGAGTTGTATCAAAAATAATGTGGATCGGAAATTGACGCCTATGGAGATGCCATATAAATATTCATTCATTCAGTCCATAACTCATTTAAATAATTTCAAGGGTTATCTATTCCTTCGGCGGCACCTTGAGGGAGTCATCGGATAAGCTGGGGTAGAAGGGGAAACGAGGAGCAAACGGCTGAAATGTATGTTAAATAAAGTATGTTTTAACATTGCTTTCGATCACGCCCTAGATCATCAGAAAAAATGTATACCTTTTCGTCTCCCTCCGGTGCCGTGGCCCCAAAAACGCTTTCCGCATATGATGGCGGCGCATCCACTCCAGGCGCTAGAAAATTCAGAATTATTGAGCACTTCAAATGTAAATGTTTAGCTTCTCGGAGGTGTTTGACTGGCTGGAACTTTTTATTTACCTTTTAAATTGTTAATATTTTAGTTTACTTTTTAAGTTACTATTGAATTTGTTAATATATCACTTTTCTAACCTTTACTTTTTAGTTTTAATTCATTAAATTTTGATCGTGAATACGATTTTGCCAGACCTGACGGTCCAGAATATTCCATGGGCGGAGCAGTTGGTGCCGTAGCTAAAAATAATATAGTAATGAAAAATCAACGCAACTTACTGGGTTGTGGCGCAAATTCTGGAGCGTCCCGTACGAAGCCAGGTTGTTGCGTGGGCTGCGGATTCGGAATTACGTGGTTTGGATATCCGGCGGTATTGACGGCGGGAAGAGGGAAGTTCTCTCTAGAAAATATCGTTATTAGCAAAGGTTTTTAAAAACGTACCTAAATGGTAGAGTCCCGATTACAACTGGCATCTTCAGTTTGACGGTTGAGTTGAAGGTAGCGCTTGTCTCGACCTCAATCTTGAAAAATAAGCATCATAGGCTGGTATAGCTGAAAGCACATACCCTTAACATGTAATACACACGAATCAAAGCACACTGGAAAGAGGCGACAACTGGCGGGATTTGAAGTCCAAAATCGAAGCTGCCTTCTGCGTGGGCGGCCATATTTAATTTCTATTGAAAAAGTTATGATCATAATCATAGACTTACAAAGTCAACAGAAGCTACGTTTCTTCTCTGTTCTTTCAAGGAGTCACCAGTGGCTGCTGCAGAGAATAAGGCGTTTACCGGGAACTGATTATCAGCGCCGTAGTATCCGGCATAGTCTGCGTATTCGCGAAGGGTTAGGGTCACCTAAGGGGTAAAATTCTATAGATTTTAAGAACCTACCTTCTCCATATCCTTCGAACTCTCATTTTTTATCGTAATCCGGACAGGAATGGTTTCACCGGGGACAAACCCTTTCTTCGGCATGTACACCTGAAATTTTACGTTTGAGCTATTTAAATCAAAATTAGAATAGTTCTCCATGTCAGCAGACAGATTCAACCGCGGGCATGTTTTACATAGCAAGACTTGCCATTTTTCGTTGTAACAAACTACACGCTACTCTTGTTTTTAAGAAATGCAAGTATGCTTGAAACTTTCCTCTGGGCGAGGTAAAGGCAAGATACCCAAAAGTTTTTAAAGGGACAGTGACATGAAACAATACCTCAACGCCGACATCACCTCTGCGAAACAACGGCAATCCGGTCTTCTCACAAACGATGTGGAATGCTGGCTCTTTCAGTTCTGGGTATAGATTCAGGTCGCATGGTGTTGTTACGGTAAATGTCTAAAGCACAGCTATCAATTTGCCTGTAAAATTTACGAGGTGGCAATCGTGGTCAAAGCGCCATGGGCGATCGACTTCGGCATGTAATCGGTATCTGACTTGTCCATATTCACCCTCAAAGGAGGGAAGACAACTTGGTGGTAATTGGAATCTAAAAAAATCACGATGGTGAAGACCGACTTGAAAGGAACGCACTGAAATTTAAATTGATGCATCCCGGCGGGAATTTTCTCCGACTGCTGATCACTCCAAACGACAACTTCTTGACGCGCAATGTCAATATCGCCCCCATAGCGATCGGTGTGAGAGTAGGACGTGTGATCATGTCGCCTAAATTTCCAGAGTAGTGCAGGACCGCGCGAACTAAATTAGAAAGTTTTTGGCTCTACCTGGAACTTCGCCTATATTCCCATCTCGTCTTGGCGAAACCGCGTAGCTTAATGGTCACTACGCGAGCCGTACAGGGTTCAGTTAGCTACAAAAAAAACAGAAAATATCTTTTTAACCCTTGAAAATCTACCCTCAGGATAGCAGTGCCCGACACAAATTCACCAGGCCGATAGACCAGCGATTGATTGTCCATTTCAAAACGAAGCGTGTCCTCCCATTCAGTCATTTTGCTAAAATTTGTCCTTTGATCGTAAAAGCGCAGAAAAAAATTAGATATAAATTACAAAATCGACGAGATCAGGAAAGTGTCTTGCGGAAGTAAAATTTTAGGGCTTCCCCGCTGGCCGGCCGTTCGGGTAGTTTTTTATGCGGGGGAGAACGCACAAGGTCAGCGGGTCGAGGAAGAAAAAGGGGACGAAAATACGGAGAGCTAGAGAAAAATGGTGGTGAGGGAGAGCTACAGGGCGGTGCGGGCGGATGTTTCCGATCGGGTCGCTTTCAGGGAGATGGATATGGCCCCAAAAAAGTTTCTAAAAACCCAAAAGATCATTGAAAAAGGTTTATATAATCTTTAAAAAAAGCAATCACATAAAAATTCCGCATCTACATTTTACATCCAATTTTGGAGCATTTCGGACAGATCGTGCGCCTTGAGGCTTCAAATCTAAATTGCCAGCATCCAGCAGCTGGATTGGATTGGCACAGCACCCAAGAGCCCACCCTTAATTAAACGCATTGTTTAGGGCATCGGGGATGGGCTATAAAAAGCGGGGAGAAGCTTTCCCGTTGAGGGCAGAGAGATGTATGTATGTGTGTATGTATGTGTGTGGCCCATGTTTGGGGAATGGCCAAGGATCGATAGGGCCCTTTCTCTTTTGCGCCCTTTTTTTGGGGGCCCACCCGCAGCAGCATTCTCTGGGCATCTCTGGCTCTCTGCTCTTTGCCCTATCTCTCGCCCTCCTTTTTCTGACCGGCCTCTGGGCTTGGAATCTGCAGAGGGAGGAGGATGACCCCTAGCCACCGCATGGGCTACCAACCACCTGCTAAATTCGGAAATGTGTTTGAGAACTACATTAATACGCGGTTTTCTGGCGAGATTTTGAACCGTTTTCTTACTACATCTTTCCAAAGGACCATTCCCGCCTTTCAATCCTTGACCATCCACTTTACCACTAACCCCAGACCTTATCCAATCTACAAATTCAACCACTAATTCAAAGCAACCCCAAAAACCCCGATCCAATTCTCGAATTTATATGTACCCCGAAAAATCACTCCCCGGGGATCTGATTTGCCCGATTTCTCCCATTCCGCTCGAGAGTCGACTCCCGTCCTTTCATTACGCCACTTAATAAAACGCTGTGAGAAATTCTTATCATATTTTTCCCGGAAATCGGCGGAGCCGGGAGATTGGCTATCATAAATTTTATGTTGGTTAGATTTTTGTTCATAGGAGCGGAGGGTAGAGCCCCCCATCCATTGCTTTCTGTTTACCCTGCTACCGGGTTGGGCGCTCCCCCCATCGGTTTGTGAACCACCGTTTCTCGGCTATTCTCCTTGATTTTTTGCTGTGGCGTTCGTTCGATTGGTGATGTTCATCACCAGTAAATTCTTCATTCTCGCAACTTCGACTTTCGTCCATATAACTTTCGAAGTAGAGTAAGAATTTGATTCTGGCCTGTCAAAGTCCTAAAATATAAGCATAGAAAGGGGTATAAATATTATATATAAACTAACTCTTCTAACCAGCAGGAATCTGGGATAAAAATAGTGCATAAAGGGTGCAGATGTGTTTTTTATGTAGATACGACTTATGCTTTTCCTTGCCTTCTGTAAAACCTTTAATCCCAAACATTTGGCGCATCTACTCGCTCATAAACTAGATGTATGTAAGGGCAGCTATGTAAATACTAATCGAAAAATGCTGGGTGAATTCCCCGCACAAAAATCCAGCGCTAAATTTTGACCACAAAGATCATTTCCATTTCCATAAGACTCAGCGGTGTTCCCATTTTCCAACTCTCTTTTCTTGTTGCTCTCTCTCTCTCTCTCTCTCTCTCTCTCTCTCTCTCTACCTCGCCATTCCTCAATTCCCGCGCCATCCATTCGACCCTATTGTGCATGTTGTTAATCTCGTGCACGTTCGCATGCCTTCTTTCCCCTTTCCTCGTTCCTCCGTACCCACCATACATGCAATTTGCCATCTAGCGTAGCTCGCACGGATCGGCTACAGATTAGTTCCAAATGGGAATTTCCTTCAACTTATGACGAACCATTCGAACAAGTTCACTGGACTTTGATTTTCTCTATTGAAACGCCTACTCGAAATGTCCAAATTTTGCTGCTCAGCGCTTTTATTTATTTGGCTGATGTGGTTTGGGGTGTTGATGACGGGGGCGGCGCAAAGCGAATTGAAATTTATTGGCATTATTGGGGTGGCGCTGGCGGAGGGGGGGGGGATTGAGCAAAAAGTGCTGATTCGGCGCGGGATAAATATGAGATTGTTAAAGCAATTTTTGAAAACATTGGGCGTGGCTCTAGGTTTTCAAAAGATCGCAGCCTAATTTCAGTTTTTTTCGTTCATTTCAGTTTCAGTTTTTCAGTCCAAATTCTCATGTTTTTGTGAATGCTATCATTAGAATAGTTGGAATCTTCATGATTTTATTTGGAGCACGTTGTAAAATATCAAAACCTGTAAATGAGTTTTTCTCTAGGTTTTGCTATCAACTTTGAAAATGGTTGTTGCCGATTTTAGCACTAGAAAGTTGCATTCAGCCTAAAAACAAATTTCTTGGGCATGTTGATTATCTTACACCCTAAAATACTGGAAATGTTTATATTTTATTCAGACCAAGCTATAGAATCTTATTGAGCACTCATTTCTATGAAAGTAAGAAGCAGATTTTCCAAATTCTTCCAATCCAAAAACGTTATTTTTCATCCCAGACGTACTTGTAAATTGTTTCCTGGTTGCAGGGGGGTCGGGATCAGCTGTCGTATGTGGATCCCGAGCGTTGTGTGGTACGAGAGGAACGGCACACCAATCAATACCTGTCAATAGGCGGGCAACGCAGGCCTGGGCAGGCTTGTTCCCCCTTGCCCCCAATTATTATCACTTCTAAACACCTTTATAAATCTTTGTCACTACTATATATTTTCAATCCAGGTTAATAACCATCAATACATACCCAGCCCCTATATTCCAGCCCTAATTGCATCCACTACGAACAATACCACAAAAAATCTCTTCGATCCTGTCTTTGAACTTATTCCTTTCAGACCTTTCCGCGTTTCTTTCTTTTCCAATCATGTTCAGAACACGATAAATTAGTTTCCAACCATATCCCCGGGGGGGCAAAGCCATTATATTAGCTTCAATGGAAAGCTCTGATTTGTCCACATTTACAGTTAGCCGGCCCGGTAGGTGATGGGCCAGATGTTTTGGTTGGGGAAATTGAATATAATAGGGGGGGGGGGGCTGGAAAAGATTTTTGGTTCGAAATATCTCTCTCTCTTTCCCTCTCTCTCTCTCTCACAACGGTTGACCTCTTTGAACTGTAGCTGCTAGATTTTGCGTAAGCGATTAGGAGGCACCCACCTACACGGAACACCTTTTCACGGATGTCCTTTTAGGGCTAATGTCAGCCCAGTGAACCATTTCCCACTTTATAGCCAATGACGTACATCATTAGATATCCATTTTTATCTTTCTGGGGCAAAGTTCAGAATTTCTGCCCGGCTGCGTCATTTATTTATTTGGGATGCGCGACCAAACGTGTGGGATTAGGAAGCCCCGGTTTTCAACCTGCGGAAAGACACGGAAAATCCTGAAATATGGCTGGAGGAGTTACATTTTTACTGTATTTCTTGACTCGAAACAATTTTTTAAAAATTCCGTAAATTTCCGGTTGGTGTGGCTCATTCTATTCTTTGTGTACTGTACACGTGCTCTTTGCAAAAATGTTCAAAAAATTCGCCAAGGCCGTCCATTGCGCCGGCAATAGTCGATTGCCCTCACCTTTAACCCTTGTGCACATTCCCGGCGCTATATATTTTTTATTTCCGGGCCACCGAATAGCCGATGGGCGTTGATCGATGTTTCCATCAATCCTAGAGGGGTGAACAACACGTTTTTCCCCGGGATACGCCGCAACAGAAAAGCGCCATATTTCACAGTGCGGAGCGAAAAGGGGGCAACCTCGTTTTTGTCGATATGGATAAGAGACTGTAGCCGGAGATCGGCAACCAAAAACCTCTTATTTTTGGGCACATCATCATCGAACCTCACCTATCCACTTTCGACTTTTATAAAATTCCGTTGATTGCGTGGCATTCCGTCCGGGGGACCTTTCAGGATCACTAAAATCAGTCCCTCAGAACTTTCCCCGAAAATGCTAATTTTCGTTCCGCGAATCTAAAATGCGAGATTCTGTAAACTCTAGGTTAACAATATTAAAAAATGGAAATTCTTGCTTTTGAAAGAGTTCCACTTTACGAAAATCCGATCCTGAAATATTTACGTTTTTCGAGATATGCATCGAAATTATCCCGTTCTTTTAGAGCGATCTTTAGCAATCGAGATTTGAGGCCCGGTGTTCCAAGGAGCAGCGGATTATGGCGGTGCATAATCTGGATAACCCGGCAAAAAATGGTTCCAAAAATCTTTTCGGGATTAGTGCAAAAAGGTGGATAATGGAACGCGAAGAATGTCTATTTGCGGCATCCATATTCGGAGCAATCCGTACTTTATGCATGCAAAGCTTGGTCTTTTACAGTTTTGTGCTAATCATAGCACTGATTTCAACTTTAAAACGAAAAAACCGGGGAAATCTGCCTATTCAAGGGACTCTTAGCTCGCATTGATCTTAAAATTACACCCCACCCTATTTTCTTTTTCGCCGCGCGCCATTTTTCACCACAACCCTTTGATTAAGCTTAGAAATGAAAAGCGGGAAAACGCTATGCGGATGCTGATGCAGGGGTTTATAAAGCCTTCTCCTTGCGAATGTTTTTCGGTATTTTCAAGCTGGTGTTTTTGACCTATTACGGTTCAAAATTATCGCTGGATGCCTACTACAATTCCAACTATCAATTTTTATAGTTTACGATGGTTTGGAGCGTGGATAGCAATTAGAATACTTAATGGTACGGTTTCCTGGTTATAATTAAACTTGGCTTCGAATTTCAGAGGCTATATCGAATTTTTGTTAGCGTCGGGTTGGTTAT